GGCTTGTGAAAATACCCAGGCCTACCCCCCCCCCCCCGGAAATTGGTAAGTCTACGCACTTGAGCCTTGGAAACACCAGTGGGGACCCTCCAAAGCTTGACAGGTACTGCTGGCTGCCAGTTACAGAGCTCTCATTTGTCTCTATGGGATCTGAAAGCTATACAAAGCTGAAGCTGAGGTCCAGCTCTCCTTTGTTAGGTTTTGCAGCAAGTTGGAGAGGATCAGAACTATAGAAAGATAGGAAGAAGTTGCTGGGCAGGGGCCCGCTTTTGCTCTCTGTGTGTGCATGCCACAGTACCCAGCCTTTCTGCTCATGTTGAGTGGTGGGGCTTTGCTACTGGGTTCCTCTGAAGACAGCCTGCATTTCTACACACACACACACACACATATCCATTTTGTTGATCAACTCTCTGGGCTGGGGGGTGTTTGCTGGGCCAGGGCTCTGTGTGCCAGTGCCACCCAGCCTAGGGCTTTGCTCTGCTTCTGGTGTGGGTTTCTATCCTCGACCCACCCCAACCTTCCTTTTTGGGGTCAGTTCTCTGAGCTGGGATGTGCTTGCTGGGCTAGTGCTCCATGTGCCACCCAGCCTGGGGCTTTGCTTTGCTTCTGCTGCTGGTTTCTATTCTCTATCCCCACCCCACCTTTTAAAAAACCTTCTAGCTTTCTGCTGCGGGCTTTACATAAGAACATAAGAGACGCCAATGTTGGATCAGGCCAAAGGCCCATCTAGTCCAACACTCAGTCACACAGTGGCCAAAAATACCAGGTGCCATCAGGAGGTCCAGCAGTGGGGCCAGGACACTAGAAGCCCTCCCACTGTTGACCCCCCCAAGCACCAAGAAGCCCCCCCCAAGGACCAAGAAGACAGAGCATCACTTGCCCCAGAGCCCCTAGCTATACCTTGTGGCTAATAGCCACTGATGGACCTCTGCTCCATATGCTTATCTAATTCCCTTTTGAAGCCGTCCATGCTTGTAGCCGCCACCACTTCCTGTGGCAGTGAATTCCATGTGTTAATCACTCTTTGGGTGAAGAAGTCCTTCCTTTTATCTGTTCTAACCCGACCGCTCAGCAATTTCATGGAGTGCCCACGGGTTCTTGTATTGTGAGAAAGGGAGAAAAGTACCTCTTTCTCTACCTGCTCTTTCCCATGCATAATCTTATAAACCTCAATCATGTCACCCCTCAGTCGTCTTTTCTCCAAGCTAAAGAGCCCTAAGCGCCTTAACCTTTCCTCATAGAGAAAGTGTTCCAACCCTTTTATCATTCGAGTTGCCCTTTTCTGCACTTTTTCCAAAGCTATAATATTCTTTTTAAGGTGTGGTGACCAGAACTGCACACAGTATTCCAAATGAGGTCTCACCATTGATTTATATAGGGGCATTATGATATAGGCTGATCTGTTTTCAATACCCTTCCTAATAATCCCCAGCATAGCATTGGCCTTCTTTATTGCAGTCACACACTGTCTCGACATTTTCAGTGAGTTATCTACTACAACTCCAAGATCTCTCTCTTGATCAGTCTCTGCAAGTTCAGACCCCATCAATGTGTATTTATATTTAGGATTTTTGGCTCCAATGTGCATCACCTTACACTTGGCCACATTGAACCCCATTTGCCATGTTGACGCCCACTTGCCCATCCTTGACAGATCCCTTTGGAGTGCCTCACAATCCTCAATGGTTTTCACCACGCTGAACAACTTCGTATCATCTGCAAATTTAGCCACTTTACTGTTTACTCTCAACTCCAAATCATTAATGAACAAGTTAAAAAGCAGTGGACCAAGTACTGATCCCTGCGGTACCCCACTGCTTACCCCCCTCCACTGAGAGAACTGCCCATTTATACTCACTCTTTGGGTATTTGTGGTCCAGGGCTCTGATTCCACACCGCCTCTCCGCTCACTCCGGGCAGTGGGGAAAAGCTGGTAGGCACCTCAGCTGAGGGCTGACATTTATATACCCCGTGCACCCACCCTTCCTCTTTTGGTCTTCTGGCTCTCTGCTGTGGGTTCAACACCATGAGGGTGAGGTCAGGTGGAAGGGGTGGTCATCATGGGGGAAAGAAGCCCTGGGCACCAAACACGGCCCCCCTTCAGAGGACGTCCCCAGGATGTCATTGGCAGGGGTCTCAGAGCCTCCTTCCATGGGGCTCTCAGAGGACATGAAAGAGTTCTTCACACTGCCCCAACAGCAGAAGTTGATTACACTGTTTGGAAGGGAGGACTCCAATGACAGTGATTCAGGGGTGGTGGTGGTGGTGAAGCATCTGCCCTCCCAAGGAAATGGCAGCTCGCTGACAGAGTGGGGGGGAGCAGGGCGACATCACCAGGCATGATGCCCCCGACATGATAATATCACACGGAAGTGACATCATCACACCAGGGATGTTGCACAGTGACACTCTAGTATTTTGGGCAAAACTCTATGGTAACTCTATGGGTCTCAGAGCCTCCTGCCTTTGCTCATTCCATGGGGCTCTCAAAGGATGCCACTAAATAGTCAAAGCTTCTGCAGGAGCTCATCATAACACCATTTGATTGAAAACACAATGTACTATGCATTTTTGTATTGTATTGTTTTAATTAAATACAATTTTGAAGAAGAAAAATAACACCATTTGGAATGGAGGAGGAAGACTCTGATGGCAGTGGTGGTGGTGAAGCATCTGCCCCTTCCACGTCCCAACTCCATGCTGCTGTCAGTGGTGGGTCCCCCTCTGGCACTTCCCGGCCCAGCGCCAGAAAGCAGCTGTGCCTGTGCCTCCCACCTGTTCCAACAATGGCTGTGGGGTCATGTTTCCACTCCACCATGTGGAAACACTTCCACAGCATCCCCAGTGACCCTTGTAGTGGAGTGCCAGCTGTGTTGTCCCCATGTCCAGAGAGGCAGGGACACCCAACCCCTGTCCTCCAGCTTTCTCTGGAGGCACCTCCGGAGGCGTAATCTTCGTGGGGGCGGCGGGGCTTCAGCCCCCGCCAAAATTTTCAGGAAGGTGCTCAGCCTCCCCCGGGAGCCACCCTTGCTCCTAGCAAAGCAATGCCTCTGGCCCAGCCCCCCCCCCCGGGAAATTGGAAAGTCTACACCCCAGCGATGCACCCCAGTGTGTCAGCACCAGAGGAAGGAGTAGCAGCCAGTGGGAGCTGGAAGAGGCCCACTCCCTCTCAGCAGGGAGAAGCAGGGGAAAACAGGAGGCTTCACAAAGAAAGGCTCTGGACAGTGTGGTTGGGACCCCAAGGCAAGCCAGTTTCTGAGAAGTCATGTCCCTAGGGATGCCAACAGTGTTCCCTCTAAGCTCCACAGTGTTGTGATTAAAAATTCTACCTCGCGAGCAAAAAAAACCTAGTAGCATTAAAGTTGTGAGTGAGTCTACATTTGACTATTGTATAAATTAGTTAAGATTATTTCCATAATCTTGTAAGAATCTCAGAATGAATTCTTTTAAACTATATTTAAATTATATTTTAAGACTAATTTAAACATAAGAGAAAACAGAATTGAGTCAAATTTCATTACAGAAAATGTTGCCTACTGGGGTAGACCAGGCCTTTGGAGAACAGGTCTACCAAGGCCTCTGGAGAATAGGTCATTCCACTATATGGGTAGACCTGGCTTTGGACTTTTGCCCTGTGCTGAGCCTTAGAAAACATAGGAGGGGGCACTACTGCAGTCTACTTTGGTTTTTTAGTGAAATATGACAACCAGCATTACAGGTCAAGTATAACAGAGGTGGAAGCAGGGCTCTTTTTGTAGAAAAAGCCCAGCAGGAACTCATTAGCATAACAGGCCATACCCAACAGCAGAAACTCATTAGCATATTAGGCCACACCCCTGATAGTACAGTGCTGTAGCACATTAGGCCACACCCCCATGTTACCAGAAGTGTGGTCATCCAGCCACACCCACCTTTTGCTTCTTATTCTGTTTACCTTGTTTGTTGTCAAAACCCAGGGCTTTTTTTTTGTAGCAGGAACTCCTTTGCATGTTAAGCCACACACCCCTAATGTAGCCAATCCTAATGAGTTCCTGCTGTTGGGTGTGGCCTGTTATGCTAATGAGCTCCTGCTGGGTGTGGCCAACTTGGAAGCCAGCCAGAACTCCATTCCTGTGCGTTCCTGCCCAAAAATAGCCCTGGGTGGAAGAATCACTGTCAGAACCCTGCCTAATCTAACAGGAAGTGGCTTATCAACCTGCCCAAACTACTTATTGATTCAAATATCTATATCCCACTTTCCCCTGTGACTCAAGGCAGCTTACAAATCATACTGCAAAAGCATAATAGGAGCGTGCAAAAAAAAAATCATTTCCCCCCAGCTTCATTATTGCCTGTGGGGATCATTATAGTCAATGGGCCCCATAGGCTATAATGGAGAATCAATCTGGGGGTATCTGGAGTTTGGGGGGCTGTTTTTTGAGGTAGAGACACCAAATTTGCAGCATAGCTGCTGGTGCCTCTCCTCAACCCCACCACCACCAAGTTTCAAAGAGATTGGACCAGGGGGTCCAATTCTATGGGCCCCGGAAGGAAGTTCCCCCATTCTCTATTGTTTCCAATGGAGGAGGGAAATGCCTTCTTAGTTCACTCGTGGGCTGAGGCAAAAAATCCCTGTGCTGCCGGCTAAAATGTAACCCCCTAGCGCAGCACTGCCAGGCAAAAGGAAGGGCTGAGAAAGCAGACAGTTGCCTCATCGGCAAGATGATTGCTGTGGATGGCCAACCCTTCTCCCTTGTGGCTGCTGCACTACCTGACTCCCTGGTACCCCGCCCCCTTGAGAAGGACTATAAGCAGGCAAATCTTGCCTGCCATGCACCACTCTGTGTTGGTGCTAGTCAAGGCCAAGCTCTCCAGAGCACAAAGCCGAACCATCCACTTCACGGCAGACCTCCAGAGAGGCCAGCAGCACAGCTATCTCTCCCTCACTGCCCAGTGGTGGCAACCAGAGGAGCACTGTCAAGCCCACCTGAGACGCTGCCACCCTAGAGCTTAGGCCATTGCTCAAGACCTGCTGATGCCTAGCTGCCCACTTCTCACATAGCATCCAGTCTGTGTGTCTGCTGTGTGAGGGGGAGCAGGAGGACACTGAACACCACCTCATCCCGGACATGGACACCTGGCTGGAACTCCACCTACACCATGATAGCATGTTTGGTGGAGCAGAAGAGCATGATGCAGAATGTCATCTCATCCGTGACCATTCTGCATGCAGAAGAGGAGCTCAGCATCAGCGCCAACTGGCTGATCCCCTCCCAGATGAAGCGTGTGCTGAAGCCCTTCTGGGACACCACCAACATGCTCTGCACCCACACAGCCAAGCTGGGGCAAGTCATCCCCCTGATTCGAGGGCTGGACTGGTCACTGGCCTTCGCACTGGAGCTGGACCCCAAGGGGACAGCTGTTCTTCTGCAGGTCAGGGTCTTGGCAGACAAGATGCAGGCGGGCATCACCACCAGGTTGCATCTTCTCTGCAATGAGAGGAAATACAAGCTGGCCTGCATGTACGACCCCCAAATCAAGGGCAACATCACTCTCTGTAACACACAGCTCATGGACTGGAAGCGTGAGCTCTGCAGAGAGGTGTGGAGGTTTCAAGGCAGCAAACGTAGCCAGAGGGAACGGTGGGTGGAAGAAGCTGGGGGGGGGAGAGGAGGGTGAGCACCCCTCTAAAAGACAAAGGAGAAGCCCCACTGGCTGTCAGTGGTGAACTGGAAGGTCAGGAGCAGTGCCGGGGGGGGGCAGGCATGCTATGATGGAGGATTCCGTCAAGGTTATGGTCAGAACTGGCTCCTTGGCCCAGGCAGAGAGGAGTTTGCCATGCCCTGCAGTTACCTTTGCAGCAGAGGGTGAACGGGGCCTGGGGGTGTGGCCACCCGCAACAGTGCAGGTTTCTTCTGGGCCCAGGCAGGCAGGGCGGGGAGGAGGGGGGATGACCATATCCAGCTATAATCTTGTTCACAGTGAGTGAATGGGGTCAAGGGACAGGGCCACCCACAACAGTCCAGGTGGCTGCTGGGCCCGGGAGAGGAGGGGGGTTGGTCATCCTGGGAGGTCTGCTGCAAGTTTGATGCCTCTAGTTTGCACTGGGTCTGTTCTATACACTCCTGAAGCTGCACCCAACATTTTCCCCAAAGCACTTTCCTGGGGGCACCTTCTTGGGGGGGGCGTAAGTAAGACCCCCCCCCAGTCCAAATGCACATAACTTGGAGAGCATGTAGAGGAGCATCAAGGGCAGGTCTGCTAGGAGTTCAATGCCTCTAGCTTGCACAGGGCCTGTTCTATATACTGCTGAAGCTCTGCCCAACATTTCCCCAAAAGCATTTTCCTGGGGGGCATCTTCTTTGGGGGGCTATAACTTGGCCCCCCTAAATCCAATTCTTACCAAACTTGGTGGGCAAGTAGAAGAGAGTCAGCTAGAGATCCCCGGTGAATTTGGAGTCTTTAGCACACTGGGGAGGCCTGTTCTGCCACATCACAAACTTTACAAACCAGTTCAGTATGTATGAGGCCGTTTTGGTTTGCTTTGGTTCATGGATTGACCACGAATCACAAACTGAACCATGTTTTCCTGGTCTGTCCTTAGTCAGAACATCATTGCTTGTTAGACCCTTCTGCTCTCTCTGCAGAAATCTGTCCCTCAAATCATCCTGCCAACACCCTGCTATTGTGACATACAACCTAGAACAAAACATGCTTCTTCAATCACTGTTTTCACCTGTATTTCCCAGGAAATAGCCTTTTTGTCCCAGAAGACAGCAGAGATTAAATAGGATGAGAAGGTTGGGAACACAGAGGAAAAAATTACCAATGGTTCCAGGATGCATCAAGGATAAACGGGTCTGGGGCACTCTGGATGGGCCGGCTGCTTCCTCATCTTCATTCAGTCCCAGTACCCTACAGAGAGGCAAGAAGGCTTCTCCTTCCAGATCATTGGCTCCTAAGGTATCATAGTCAAATACTGTCAGCAATAAGCATGCCCCATCCTGTCGGCATTTTTCTGGAGGAATTAAACTGCAAGAGAGAGAACACATGGGGGAGTTGAGGCACCTCAGGTAGAAACAAAACCACCATGCATGGGAAAGTACCAAAGAAGAAGAAAGAGCATGAAACAGGGGGGGGGGGGGGGGGGGGCCTCCCTGAGTCAACCATTACAAAAATATGGAAAAATCAACTTGGCAATGCTTGTGTTATTTATCCAGCTTGGGTCAACCCATGGGAAACAAGGGTGTGCATGTCCAGAGGGGGAAAGAATGGCAAGTGCTTATACATACAAATCAAAGACTTCATCAAACAGAGGGTGGAGATTCTTCTTGATGCACTGGGTTGTCCTTGTTACCACTTCAGGGAATTCATGCCTTGGCTCCAGGGTCAGCTGGACAAAGGGGTCACTTGAGCCTTGAAAGAAACCAAGACTGATCATTCAGCTAATCTACCCTGGGACAGTTGTTTCTCTAAATACCCTGTGATATCCATGATTTCAAAAGCACAAGTCATCCCCCTTTCCTTTCCTTTTGTACCCTTAGAAGCTCACAGATTCACACATCTTGAGCAGCAGAAAACACTTATTTCTTAGATGCAAGGGCTAAAAGGAATGAGACATTCTGCAATTGCTAGTGATCTTAGGATCCTTATCAAGGGGCCACGGTTTCCAGAGTATAGAGGGACGACTGGTTAAATAAAGGCCTCCTCCTCCTCTGTAGAAGTCAGTCATGTCTCCTATTTTACAAGCTTTTGAACTGAGGCCAAGAGTCAAGTCCCCAGGGCAGTGGATATTCAGACTTCAGCCTCTCTAGAGTACAATTCAGCACACTCCATTGGACCAGGACATCCTCCCCACCTCCACCCCTTGACTGCAGTTTTACTGAATTCTTTACCCTTTGTGATTTCTGAATATACACACCATTGTGTTTATACTGGCATCATAAAGAGCACATGATCCCACAATTTTTGCAAGGGGATTATCATAGAAGGATTCAACAGCACCTCTACTAGAGAGTTTTACAGACTACAGCCTCCTGTTTTCTTTCCCTTCTGAAGTATCGATGACAGATTCACACCAACTCTAGTCTCATTGCAGATGTACATTAAAAAGACTCACACAGCTATGAATTCAAAGCACCCTTTTTAGATGCACATGTGATTAACATATGGAAAATCTCAATATCAAAATACACTGCTACCACTGTTGCTGCCCTCTGCCATCTCCCTGGCCCTCTTTGGAAAACAAAGTACCCTGCCTGAGATGGGTGGCTTCCATCTCAGGCATCTGCCAAGTGTACGTTTTAATCCTCCCAAGGAGGTGGGCAGTGAGGGAGCAGGCAAGCAAGCAGCAAAAGAAACACTCTGCAGTCAAGTATCTTCTTCCAGTACCCATGTTCCTTGCTACCTCTGGGAACCTGAAGCATCCTAGTTCACCATGCTTCCCAATATCAATTACCGTGCAAAAAAAGAGAAGACGACTGCTGAGACTACAATCTCTACTATGTGAGATGATGGCCTAGACAGAGCACGGATACTCCCTACAGAACAGGTGAAGTGGAGTCTTAACAGATTAGACAGCTATACCAGCACACAAAACAGGCAGGGCCCTCTTTCACTTTCCCAATCTTGTTTTGGCTAGTCTGCATCTGTCTACAATAATCTTAGTTCACGTAGACTGCAGGACTCCACACACATTACAGATGGCTCTGTTGCTCTGTGAACGTCTAGTCATGAACCGCAATAAATCATATTTGATCCAGATGGCCCCTGCTGTTGAAGTGTGGATACACCCCTTGAGCCTATATGCTAATTACAAGCTGCTCAGATCCAGCAACATCCAAATGAATCTGGATTCTAAGCACTTGAATGCAGCAATGCAAAGTTGCAAGCAACTTTGGAGTCAACAACAAGGTGCAATTTATGCCCCTGGCACTGATGAGAGAAGCAAAACAACATTGGGAGGATGCACTATTTCTTTGACACAAGAGGCCTCTCACCGTTTGAGTCCAGGGGCAGCAGGTTGACCGCATTGAGCACTTCAATGCGCAGCTTTTGCTCCGAGTGGCGGTAACTGGCTTTTATGGTCACAGCCCCGTATTTTTCAGAGTTAGCCTCTGTCTAAGAGCAAGCAAAGGAGGAGTCAGGTGAAAACCTTTAAATGCATTTTCAATACCACAACCTGCCCGTCTTCAATGATTTAGATTGCCCTATACGTTTTCCCCTCCTAATGAAGCATTAAGCCAAAACTCTTTGAAGTGTGTTTAAAGTAGGTAACAGTCAGTCAGTCAACCTTTATTGGCATAGATAAAATACAGCATGTATCACATTTTAAAATGCATGTGAAAAATATGTAAATATAAAACAGTCAGCCCACCAGAGCTTTGATCTTATATTCTCTTACCCTCATCGTAATAGAAAGAAATCGTGCTACTGAGAAAGTAATGTGAGGGCAGAGATCTGATAAAAGGAAAGATATAAGTCTCTCTTCACATAAACTATGCTTATTGTGCAGGAGGGGGCTGATTAGAGCATCACGAATACAATTATAAAATTCACAGCTGAGCAAGATGTGAGCGATCGATTCTGGGTTCCTGCTGTTACATGGGCAGCTCCTTTCAAGGTAGGGGGTATTGGCAAATCTACCATAAAGGACCTCTGATGGCAGGGCATCAGTGTGCTAGCATAAAACCTTGTCTTAGTGATGGAGCAGGGAGTTGTAAAAAATAATCAGCTATAAGCCCATTTCTCGAAGTTATGTTAAAGTTCAGAGGGGAAGGGGAGAGTCCACAACCGAGAGTTTGCTTTTCAATATCTAACATTCTCTGCCTCAAAGACCTAAACATTTGAGATTCACCTGACAGAAGCAGGGAGTCAAGGGAAATGCCAAGTGATTGTATCTTTTTTCAGAACTGAATTTGTTCAGTTGGATGTAAATGTGTCTGACAATAAGAGGTGAACATAGCTATTGTATTTTGTTCTGAAGTGGAGATGTAACCAAAATTTTAAAGTTGATAGCCAGGCTCTGGTCCCAAGAAAATATTGTCCTGTCTCCAGGCAGCTGGCTGCATAGCTTACACAATTTGGCACTCCTAGGATACGCTGCAAAAACATTGCCTGGGTCTGCTCAACCTGTTGATTAAAGGAGCAGATCCAGATGGGGATCCCATACAGAATTGGGGACACAACCTTGGTGTTAAAGACTCATACAGCAGTGGGGATGAATTGGTTGCCCTTCGCGTAAAAACCCCTAACAATTGCAGATGGGCTGCATTTGGCCAGGTTTATTGCTTGTTTCCTCTGGCCTGTCCAGCTTTTGTTATACTGGAAAAGAACGCCCACGTATTTAAAATGTTTCTATTTGTGTGCCACTTAAAGCGTTTCCAAGATTTTGAGAACACCAAGATTGTAGATTTTTCAAAATTTACCAATAAGGAATTGTTCTCGCAGTAAGATGTAAATGCAGCTAAAAGGCGCTTAAGCTCTTCTGGGTACAAGACGATACTGCAGCATCGTCCACATATAGTAATAGAGGGATATGTTAGAGACCCAGTTTGGGGCAGTGGCCATCAATCACACACAGTGAGGAGTCCAAGTCATTAAAAAATAGATTGAATAAATAGGGTGCCAAAATGCAGCCTTGTTTGACTCCTCAGTTTGTGAAGATCTTAGGTGTTAGCAGGGGTCATTTCCTGCAGGAGCGCAGAGGAGTGGAGCTCCGGCAGTAAAGAGCCCAGGGGCCGGGCACATGCAACAAGCCCCACCCCCTGCTCCTTCTCTTCCTCTTTCTTTCCTTCAAGGGAATCTGTATGCTTTTGAATTTTACCTTCACCTTGGAAGCGAAGCAAGGGGAAAGACTGCTACAAAAGCTCTCTGAGAAACCTCAGGGAAAGCGTGAGTGGGAAGTGAACTGAGCACTGAGGGAAGGAAACAGTGCAGAATGAAAAAGAAAACCCGACAGACATGCACGGTGACAGCAGGGGGAAATGCAGAACAACAAAAATAACCCAACCATGATGTATGGTGAAAGCAAGGGAAAAGACCAATGTATAATAGACCACTTTTCTAGAGCTAGGAAGAGAGAAGAGTTCACAAACTAGGAAACCAGCGGTCATAGCAAGACATCTTTCTGTTAGGGCTCAACATCCTTTCCTGTGGCTTACAAAGTAGCAAAACTATACATCATTCATCTCAGAGCAACATTTTTTAAAAATAAGTCAGAACATCTTGTTTCAATCAAAAGTCAGCCAATACTTCTCTTGACTCTAAGATGGAATAAGATTCTCCTGTAAAAGAAGACACAGTTAAAAGGTGCTTGTCTTATTCATAAACACAAGAACCAGACCCACTGAAGTCTCACCTGCTGCTGGATTCTGGCACTGAAGTACTTCTGGATGAGTTTTCTGGTGGTGGAAGAGCAGAGTTCCAGCTCTTTCTCCAAACCCTGAGAAAGAACAAGATACAAAAGAAGACCAGGGATGAAAAAGTAAGCTGACTCAGGTACTCAAAACTCCAAATCTCATCAGAATGAGAATTTCAGATTTCAAACAGCAGAAAGGTCAGAGGTGACACATGAACATCAAAGGGGTGAAAGGAAAGGACTGCAAATTATTTAAAGTATTTGGAAAAGAAGGGGGAAGAGCATTCTCTTCTTCCCTTGCACACACACCCTTACCTGTCCTTGGCAAGTTGTGATACTGCTTCATGCTTCTTCAAAACCTCAAGGGGATGGGGACGGGGGACTCCAGCAATCTATTTTTACTCCCACTGCCTAAAGCCACTTTTACAGGCCATTTGGTGGGAAAGCAGATTTTAAATACAAATCATTGATGCCTCCATTAAACTGTGAGCTCTTGCACCACAAGGGGGGGGGGGGAAGGTGTGGATATTTTAGAATTTTTAAAAGGAAGTCCAAATCCTGAGAAGTCCAGTGGCCTTATGCTGGACTGGTTGCCATCAAAGCCTCATTACCACATTCAAAAAAACACCTCCTTTACAGAGAACTGCAAGAGAACCTGGGGAAAGTTTTGCTGTAAACAAACAACCTTTCTGAATCAGCTTCTCCATTTTTGCCATTAAAGAGTTCTGTGACAAGCTTAACATTTACGTTGAATGGATTACATTTCAAACCAAGTCAAAATCCCACCAAATTTAGTAGCTAACCAGTTATTTCTGGACAGCAGATTTTAGAGGAGGAACATATTAGACTTCCATGGAAAAGCCAGCTCTCCACTGTTAGAAAAGTCAGGGGCACTGAAGCTTGAACTGTTATGGGGGCCCCTTTGCAACAAGCAACAATAGGGCAACACCCAACAAGGTCCAAATGGCCTTGATGCCCTTGCAAGGATCTGAAGGCTCAAATGGCAGAGAACAGGGTGTTGGGATGGAGCCCTTGAAAATGGGCCATACAGTTACTGAGTAGGGGGTACTGAGAGTGATGCATGGAGGAGTAATTTCAGCTCATACTTTATTATATACCGGAGAACATGAGATGGAGTAGCTGGGCCAGAGGCCGGCTTATATCCCCATAGCAAACTACACCCAAACATACACCCACACCCATGATAGGATATTTACAGTGTACCCAAGTCCCATAGGTCAATACTCAAATCCTAGCTGTCCAATAGGTGTGCCCTAGGATCCATTCGGGCTATTGTCTCTGGAAGCGAAAGCTTGGGCCATTCGCATGGCCACGTGTGGACCCGACCGCATGCACGGTTTCTCTGGGTACACAACACCCTTCCCACCAGCAAGGAGGTCTGGGTATCTTCTTCAATGGGGTTATTCCACAGAAGATCACCACAGTTTTTTTAAAAAATTAACCACTACATCTCAGATTTTGATTAAAATTGCTGTACTGGCTTACCTTATGTATCAAAGTAACTTGTGTGAATAAAAATTTCCTAGGCTATGCCTTATAGTTTTCAGGTTATGGGAGATGAAAATTAGGGAAACTCTGTGGTTTTCCCTTGTATGGCCGTGGCCCCGCCCCCCAGCTTGCCCGGCGTCCTCCTGTCACTTCCGGGTGACGCGCACGTCGGGGAGGAGTTCCCCCGGGGCGACTTGGGATCCCTAAATACATATATTGTAAATCCAGGTTAATCTCACAATATTGGAACATCAGATAAGATGTGGGAGGCTGCAGTTCTTCTCATTTGGATCCTGAATCCCACTTCACCTTTGTTTTAAAAGATCTCTAATACTTGCACAGATTATCAACATTTACTTGCAGTAATCCAAAGCAGGCCTTGAAACAACAAGATCTGTGCAGGCCTTTCCCTCCTAGGGCTGCCAAGTCTCGTTGAATCGAGGCGGGGGATCGTCATTCTTTACAGGAGCTCTGCCGCGGGGGACGGCAAGAGGCGTTGCACTGCCGTTGCCAGGATTTGACGCTACGCGTTGCTCTGGCAACGGGACTCCAAACAGCCCCATTGCCAGAGCGACGCATAGCGTCACATCCTGGCGACGGCGGTGCAACGCCTGTTGCCGTCCCCCGCGGCAGAGCTCCTGTAAAGAATGACGATCCCCCGCCTCGATTCAACGAGACTTGGCAGCCCTATTCCCTCCCCTTATGGTACATCTTCTTCCTGGGCCAGGCCAAACTTCTCAGAAGCATTAACAAACAGAATACTAAAACCTGTATTGCAACAGTTCTAAATAATAATAATAATTTACCTGCAATAATCCAAAGCAGACCTTGAAACAACAAGATCTGTGCAGGCCTTTCCCCACCCTTATGGTGCTGTTGCTTCTTCCTGGGCCAGGCTAAACCGCTAGTCTGCTGAGAACAACCAGCCCACTTTAGGGGAAGCTACAGCACTGAGCATGCTCCATTCTAAGGTCAGTATTAAGTACTTCAACCCACTGGCTTATGATTCTGTCACTAAAATAGCCTTATTTTAATAACAAGCACTTTTAAAACTCCATTAATTTTTGTTGAAAAATTCACTCATTTTAAAAAAAGTTGCTTTAGGGGCTCCCTGGGATTGGGAGCCCAGAAATTTAAGCTTATTTAGTTTCACAGTAGATCCACCTCTGAGAACAGTAGGGTGGAGTTAGCCAAAGAACGGCCAGTATCAGCCCACCATTACTACAGCATAGTGATCTCTGCAGTGCCAGAAATGTAGCTAACTCAATATGTAAGGCCACATATATATTCCTTAATAGGAATATGAACTCCAAGCCACTGGTAAGGGGGACAATTTACTGGCTGAATTACCTTGCCCAGTTTAGCAAGGAACTAATTTATTCATCGCCCAGGATGGAGAGGGCAGGAACATTCCCACAGCCTTTCCTAGAGCAGGAATGTTGCCCAAATGTAGGGAAGAATTAATACATCAAAGGGAGACAAGGGTGGAGAGTGTGGGAAAGTATTCCATTATTTCTTAGCTGTGCTGCTGAAACACGGAGGTTTAAAAGAAAAAGAATTTCAGCTTTGTGCTATTACCAGGCAGTGGCATGCACGTATGTCCCCCCTCCCCAAAAAAAGAAAAGGAAGGCAGAGAAACATAACATTCAATGTGAGTTATGCAGGGCTCTTTTTGTAGAAAAAGCCCAGCAGGAACTCATTAGCATAATAGGCCACACCGAACATCAGAAACTCATTAGCATATTAGGCCACACCCCTGACAGCACAGCTCATTAGCACATTAGGCCGCACCCCCATGTTACCAGAAGTGTGGTTATCCAGCCACACCCACCTTTTGCTTGTTATTCTGTTTACCTTGTTTGTTGTCAAAACCCAGGGCTTTTTTGTAGCAGGAACACACCCCTAATGTAGCCAATCCTAATGAGTTTCTGGTGTTGGGTGTGGCCTATTATGCTAATGAGTTCCTGCTGGGTGTGGCCAACTTGGGAGCCAGCCGGAACTCCGTTCCTGTGCGTTCCTGCCCAAAAATAGCCCTGGTTATGTATAAAAGATCAAACACTGGATGTATTCACCTGAATTTGTTTTTACAAAAAATTATTGAAGAGCTACGTACAAGCATATATAAAAAGATTTTTAAAAATATCTTTAATGTTACAGTGCACTTAAATAGTAGGCCTTTAGGCCATACAGATCACACACATTACATACAATGCAGTATACTCTTAGTACTACTGATTGGAAACAATAAACCAATGAAATCAGACCATATGTAACATTAAAGATATATTTTGTTTAATCTTTTTATATATGCTTGTACCTTCAACCCTTTAGGTATCCAGTTCCACTTGGGGTTGAGTTTTGCTCCTTCTTTTGTGTTGCTTATTGAAGAGCTACATCACCCCAAACTAAACATCATCCAGAAGTCAGTAAGAACAAACCGAGAGCAGGCAATCCGAACAGCAAGGAAGTATGAACGCTCACTTACGCTAATGAAACCATAATTATTTGTCGGAAAGCTCTCTAAAGATACTTTGTGCATGTCTAGATTGCCCTGTCCTTTGCTAGGAAATGTTTTGCCAATATCTCCAAAGGGGCAAGAGGAGTCATAGCATCTTACTGTAAAAGCTGCAGTGTGGAGCGTGTCCTTTGGCAGCCCGCAGCCCTCTGCATGGAAAGAAAGTTCCAAGCTCTATGGGAGAGAAAACACAAAGACAGGAAATCCATTGCTGAGAGCCAAACTACACATTACACCTATTATGTGATTGCCATGGGAACTGGCAGCAGGACAAGTTTCCTGTAGGGACTTAATCGTGAGCAGAGGAGAGTCTCCTGCCTTCCCCCTGTGTCCTTTTGCAAACCTAAAATTGCCTGGAGAGGGGGAACATGCTCCACTGGAGGCTGCATGTGCAAGCACTCAGTGCATGTGTGGTCCCCCACATGGAGTAAATAAGGCCACTGGGAGGTAGTTTGGGTAAGGAATATACTCCACCAGCACCATGGTCCCAATCCGAATCCAGCTCCCTGCTGTGCTTCAAAAGTGAGTTGCAACAAAGAACTTCCAGCTGTCATGTGGCTGCATGTCCCCATGGCAATCACATGGTAGAAGTCATGTGTGGTTTAGACCTGAGGCACAACAAGAAGAAGAAGTCAGACTCTTTGTTCGCCACCTTTTTTCATACTCTTAAGTACCTGGAGGGCAAACTGCAGTTTCCTGAAGTACTGCAAGTTGCCATCTTGCTGTTTGGCAGCCCTTGTCAACGTCTCCAAGGTGTGATTCCACAGCAGCTCCAGAAGGCTGTTGGAAGGGGAAAGTAAAGATGGAAACCGGATCACAACATGGAGCATCCTCTAATAAAGCTCAGCAGATGCCAACAAATTCTATCAGACCTTGGGATAGGTAGGTCAGAAACCCCAGGACAAGTTATCCTCTCCCCCACATTTTCCACTGACATTTATTTATTTATTTATTTATTTATTATTAAATGTATACCCCGCCCTCCCCAGAATGGGCTCAGGGCAGCTAACAGAAGAGGCACGTATGCCAAGGTTAAAACAGTTAAAAACAGAATAAAACATCTTAAACAATACAATAAAGTGCGAGTGCTCTGGTTGTCACAAATCCATTAATCACAAGATGGGGTTCTGGAAGGACAGACCCAGAACAACAAGAGTTCCACACGGCACTGCCATCAGCTCTTCATCCCAGGGCCATCTCATTCCCCCCAATGATGCCAACTCCACGAGATAAGTGTGGTGCGGTGATGGTATAATAGTGGAATGGTGATGGTATAATGGTGGTGGCGGCTCCTACTCAAAAGCCTGGCGGAATAGCTCCGTCTTGCAGGCCCTGCAGAACTGTGCAAGGTCTCGCAGGGCCCGAGTCTCTTCCGGGAGCTCATTCCACCAGATATGAGCCGCCACCGAAAAGGCCCTGGCCCTGGTTGCAACCTGAGGCCTGGAGTTACCAGGAGGTGCTGAGTCCCCAACCGTAGTGCCCTTGGGGGGACATATGGGGAAAGGCAGTCCCTCAGGTGTGCCGGACCCTGGCCATGTAGGGCTTTAAAGATAAGAACCAGCACTTTGAAGCGAATCCGGTACGCTATAGGCACCCAAGCCCACAACTCCAGGCAATCTGGGCAAGGGGGCGCATGTAGATGTTAAACAACATGGGGGACAGCACTGCCCCCTGAGGCACCTCACAATCAAGGGGATGCCTCCGGGACCGCTGATCCCCTATTGCCACCCTTTGTCCCTGACCTTAGAGAAATGAGGCAAACCATTGAAGGGCAAGCCCCTGAATCCCCGTGTCGGCGAGGTGGTGGGTCAGCAGCTGGTGGTCAACTGTGTCAAACGCGGCCAACAGATCTAACAACAGCAGTGCCACCACACCACCTCGATCCAGATGCCTTCGGAGGTCGTCAGTCAGGGCAACCATCACTGTCTCAATCCCATGACCTGGGTGGAAGCCGGACTGGAAGAGATCTAAGACAGAAGCATCCTCCATATAGCCCTGTAACTGTAACGCCACTGCCCTCTCAATATGTTTGCCCAAATAGGGCAAATTAGACACCAGTCAGTAGTTGGACAATTCGGCCGGGTCCAAGGATGTTTTTTTCAGGAGAGGGCAGACCATTGCTTCCTTGAGTGCTCTGGGGAACTGTTCCTCCGAGAGGGACTTGTTAATAATCTCCCTCAGGGCACCTCGGAACCCCTCGTGGCCCGCTTTAATGAGACAGGGGGGGCACGGATCAAGGTCGCACAGGTTGGATGCACCGATACAAGCAATCTTCAACTTCCTCCAGGTTGAGTAAGCTAAAACGCTCTAAACCCAGAACCAAAGATGCGCAAGGGGTCTCAAGTTCACTCACTGTTTCAATTGTGGCAGGGAGATCACGGCGGAGCGCCAAGACTTTCTCTGTGAAATAGCTCGTGAATGCCTCACAGCCTACATCCAATTCCCTAACATTTTGCCTGCCCTGTGGCAGAGCTGTCAAAGACCAATTGGGCCGGGCGTGAGCTCACAGAAGCAATCATGGTCGCATAGAAATCTCTCTTTGTGGCCTTGGCTGCCATCTCATAGGATCTCATAAACATCCTATAAGATGCTCTTGATGCCCCACGAACCCATAGCCACTATCACGTCACGAACCCATAGCCACTATCTCTCTAACCGTCTCAGTTCTCGCTTCAGCTGCCGCAACTCCTGGGTATACCAAGGTGCCCGCCTAGAGTGAGTGTAGAGAGGGCGCCTGGGAGTGATCTCATCGAAGGCTGTGGAGAGCCGACCATGCCAGTCCTCCACCAGCTAATCCAACAAGCCGCCAGGGGGCCTCAGATCCCGTAGGGCCATCTGAAGCCGCAGAGGGTCCATCTGGCTCCGTGGGCGAGCAAAAATCTGCTCACCGCCTAAACAGGGTCGGGGTGGCACGTTCAGACGGGCCTTCAGGGAATGGTGGTCCGACCATGGCACTACTTCTGTAGTGATCCAGTCCACCTCCACCCCCGCCGCGAAGATCAAATCGAGCATGTGACCCACCCGATGTGTAGGGGCCGATACAAGTTGAGAGAGCCCCAGTGCTGCCATGGATGACACTAGGTCCGTAGCCCGGCTGGAGACCGTATCCTTGGCATGGACGTTGAAGTCACCCAGGACAATCAGTCTAGGGTGCTCCAACACCCAGCCTGATATGGCCTCCAGCAGGGACAACAGGCTACTAGCCGGTGCGTTAGGCGGTCGGTACACCAGCCAGATCACCAAGCTCTCCTCAGCCTCCAGCATCAAGCTGACACATTCCATGCCCATGATCTCCATGGACGGGAGTGCCCTGAAGGAGTAAGCCTCCCAAATGAAGATAGCCATTCCTCCCCCCCGCCCCCTAGTCCATGATTGGTGAAGGACCAAGAAACCCGGTGGAGCGAGCTGGGTGAGCGTTACCGTCTCCCCATCCCGCAACCAGGTCTCGGTTATGCACGCCAGGTTGACTCGTTGTTTCATCATATAGTCCCGAAGGGTTGTGGTCTTGTTATTTATGGACCTGGCATTGCACAACACCAATGATGGAGGGGGGTTTCCAATCCTGGCCCCACTGCCGGCAACCCTTGGGATGGGCCGTAGGCTGGAAGGGCACCGAGTCATTCTATTTCTCTGCATCCTTCCCTTGTAACCCTGCCTAGGCCCACCACAAAACTTCCCCCTTCCCCAGAGCACCGGAATCTGCTGCCCAGACATTTACTCTACTGGCCGGTCTCCGCAGTGCTTCAGACCGCCAGTAAGATGGATGACAGGCACAGCTACAACAGGCATTTCATTCCTTGGCTTTAAATAAAGCTCTAGTGAGGGTAAAATGGATGCTGAAAGGGAAAAATAAACACACAGCCTGTGAGTGCACCAGAAGTGACATCAGCTCCCAGAAGCAGCAAGCTCTCCATGGTTCTTTCAACACTGGCTGTTCTTGAGTAGCAGAACAGGCTTCCGAAGGAGATAAGGGGAGCCCCCTCACTGGAGATCTTCAGAAGGCACTTATAAGGCCTGTTTGATTTGCTAGGGTTTTGATGGGATATGAACAAGCATCTTTTGTGCGGCAGGGAGGCTATTTTATTTGGTTTTAATCTGTTTTAATTATTACCTGTAAGCCAAGAGAAAAGGCAGGGTAAGCAAAGTCAGTACTATGAGCAAGGAAGAAGGGAAGTGTGCCTTCTTCCATCTGCTGCAGTAGAAGCATTACACTATATGATATGCCAAGATGGGTAGCTGTGTTTGTCTGTAGCAGTAGAAAAGAGCGAGAGCCCAGTAGCACCTTAAAGACCAACAAAATTTGTGACAGGGTATGAGCTTTGGTGAGTCACTGCTCCCTTCTTCAGATGCAGCTAGAATGTGAGTCCATCTCTCCTAATTATTGCAAAGTGGAGTGATTTCAGATGCCAAATGACATTAGCAAGCAAATGACAACAGCAGGCGTGATTGGATTAAGTATGATATTCAAAGCTATGAATGCCCCTCGCCCCGTTCCATGGCATTCATAGCTTGCTAAAACACAGCCATTCTCCTAAATAGGGACAACATTGACTATCTAGCCAAGAATAATCCTCATAATTCCAGTGTTCTGGCTCACCTGTTAAAGTTCTCCTGAACCAGGTTCCCATGCAAGTACTCAAACTCACATTCCAAAAATTTCATCAATGGGGTGATACACTGGAGGACCAGAGAGAGAATGATCAGTGACGTTAGATTTAAACATTACAGAGCCCCTATGGTGGCCCAGAAAGGTGCTCATCCCTCTTGGGGTTCCACATGGACAGCACAGCCTTCAGAAGGGTCTACTCTCATAGACTAGCCCATACTCATGTGGCATCTGCATACCATCATGGCCACTACCTGGATTCTGCAATACTGGCACACATACACTACACATGAATGAGCTGGCACACATGGGAAGTGGCTCTTAAACAGTACAAGCCATCATGTGGAATGCTGCAGGGAGGAGTTAGCCCTTTTAATATACCCTCAACTGCCCGTTAACATTTATAGCAATCGTAAAAGACAGACTGTCTTTCCCACCATGGCCTGGCCTGGAGTAGTATAGGTGGACTATAGATGTGGGGTGTAACAAGCTAATGATCCTGTGTCCAAGCTCGGGGATATCACCATATAAAGTGAGCAGAAGTCATCTTGCCCTACATAGGATTAATGAATAGGCTGAGGACCAGTTTTTATAGATTAGACCAACAGAAAAGTCCAGGCTCAGTTCTACATGATCATCATTATTACTAACAGCTAGGAATCAAAGTGACAGATCAGTGCAATTATGTATTACTGCTTTTTCAGGCATAAGCTTAAGCACTCACATTTATTCCAGCAAATTCAGAAGTGCACCCTGCACTTCCCCCTCCACTCTCCGCCTTTACAAACAAACCATAAGAAGGTCTGACATGTAGTCCACAGCAAAAGGAGAGCTTCAATGTTATTTTGACAGAAGTTGGGAAGATATAGTTGGGACAAGAGCAGGGCTATTTTGGGGCAGGAACGCACAGGAACGGAGTTCCGGCTGGCTCCCAAGTTGGCCACACCCAGCAGGAACTCATTAGCATAATAGGCCACACCCAATAGCAGAAACTCATTAGGATTGGCTACATTAGGGGTGTGCGGCCTAACATGCAAAGGAGTTCCTGCTACAAAAAAGCCCTGGGTTTTGACAACAAACAAGGTAAACAGAATAACAAGCAAAAGGTGGGTGTGGCTGGATAACCACACTTCTGGTAACACGGGGGTGTGGCCTAATGTGCTAATGAGCTGTGCTGTCAGGGGTGTGGCCTAATATGCTAATGAGTTTCTGCTGTTGGGTGTGGCCTATTATGCTAATGAGTTCCTGCTGGGCTTTTTCTACAAAAAGAGCCCTGGACAAGAGTATTCCACTGGTTTCTGTTGTGGCTTCCTGTGATTCATCTGGGACTAGCTACTCTTCCATTGCTACATTGACAGTGCAAGGGAGATAAGCAGAGAAGCAAAACATTCCCTGAAGCCAAATTTATTCCAAAACTCACATCTTCTGGGTCCTTGGAGTCACTACAGGTTGACAGCTCCTGAATGTGTCTGGAAATCCCAGCTTCCAGCTGTCAAAACACACGTGCTTATTGAGACTTAGGATAGATGTGATATAAATACATATAGTTCACACACATTACCTTAGTTAACATTACAACAATCTGGTGAGTTGAGCCAGCATTATAACCCATAGGAGAAGGAGAAGGGTCAGCAGCTTGCCTAAGACCACCACTGAATATCTGAGCCAAGATCTGACCTAAGGAATGATTGATTAATGCTGCCAATCTTTTTATACACCTTAACATTCAGAGATAAAACTCTGCTCCACCATAGTTCCACTGAAGCTAAATACAATCTAGACAATACACAACTTTTCCCCCAGATATAAAAGGTTATGCTTCCTCCTGCCAGCCAACACCCGTCATTGCTGGAAAAAAAACCTCCCAGTTTAAAAGAAAATTGTCCTGCTTTACATCTCCAAAAGCAGCTGCCCAACTTCATTGGCCATCAGGCTTGACTCCCAATTGCCAGTGCCCTGTGCTACATTCTGCCTGAGGAACCTTCCAAGGACAGAACTCCACATCAGTCTCTTTTGTTCCTTTAAGCTTTTCCTTTAAGCTCTCAGTAATTCTTTTTCAGGAGCTGCGGTGGCTCAAGTGGTTAAGATGCTGAACCACAGGCTGTGGAAGGTCGGTAGTTCAGCAGTTCAAGACCCGAGTGTACCGCATGACAGAGTGAGCTCCCGTCTCTAGTTCCAGCTCCTGCCAACCTAGCAGTTCGAAAGCAAGAAATTGCAAGTAGATAAATAGGGACCACTTCAGTGGGAAGGTAACAGCGTTCCGTGCGCCTTGGTGTTTAGTCATGCCGGCCACATGACCACAGAAATGTCTTCGGACAGCGCTGGCTCTGCAGCTTTGAAATGGAGATGAGCACCACAACCCTAGAGTCGGATTCGACTGGCTTTCGAGCAAGGGAACCTTTACTTTTACCTAATTCTTTTTCAGGAACTAATGTGGTCCAAGGGAGGCACTTTGACTTGAAAAACAGAGACTGCAGCCCCAGTTATGAATGACTTTAAGACATATTCTTGCTATCTTTGTTTTACATGTATAACATAACCATGGGCCAGACTGAAAGATACACGACGTTATGTACGTGTAAAGAAGCATCCGCCTTACCTTCCCGTCTTCCTGGCTCTCCCAGCTGGCTGTTCAGGCAGAGGCATAACATTTGAATGTGTCCACATCCAATGCATGCAATACTGTGGTTCTGATCACACAGTCGATTTCCAAATCTGGGAATTGACTGTGGTGATCTGGGCCTGTTAAGTGCTGAATGCCATACAGCCATGTAGACATCCAGTGGCATCAAAGGTGGGGCTGATTCAGTATAGAGGCTCCCTCTCCCATCCTAACCATACACAGGGACGCATATTTTTCAATCCAACCCGTGTTCTTGTTCAGTAATGACTTGCAACAAACCACCTTACAAAACAAAGCTCTTTGAAGAAAATTCAAATTCTATAGCAAGCTCTACTGTAATACCTATTAGATCAAAGGTACATCTCCTTGCTATGTTGCATAATTTATTCTGCTTTGGCCATGGAGTTGTGGGGCAAAACTTCTCCTGTTTCCTGCCCAACTTCTGAAATTTCAATCTGCGCTGTCTATATTTTCAAGCCTACATTCAGAGCCATGAATGAAGCAGAGATTCTTAAAATGCTGAATTATATTCCCTCTATTAAACTCTGCCTGCAGGCTCTGCATGTGTAGAAATGCAGAACACACACAGTCCTGAAGCAAAATCTAAAGCAACGGACATAAAGGTGATCTCGCGTTGTTTGATACTGTTTTACTGTTTTCAGCCATGCCCCCCCACACTGTTTACTATCAGAAGAAATAAAAGAGAATGTCAAGGCTCTGAGGTTACTTTGGTTGCCAGGGTCTGCACAACGCCTCGGATCTCATGGTTAAGGCATTCGACTGTAGACTGAAGTTGATGGTGCAAAGTGTTCTGGATCTGTTCTGGGGCAACAACATCTCCTATCTGCTGCTTCAGACGGGCCCAGTCCAACTGTGAGGGCAACTTCAGGATGATCATGCGAAGCTGCTCAATATTGTTCACCACAACACAGAGCTGGGGGCAGGGAGAAACAAAAATAAGTTTGTTAAACAGAAAAAAAGTGTTCATGTCCCCCAACAGGTTGAGTGGCTGGATCTTTTACTTCTTTCTGTTTAGAAGCCATCCCTAAATCCTAAGCAAACATATAGACTCATCAATAATGTAGCTGAGACTGGCCTGATTTCCCCAAGCGCTATACAGTCACTACATCTGAAACAACGCTGTCCCTCCTGATGACATTGTCCAATTCTCTGGCTGGATGGGAAGTTAACCTTCTTAACTACGTCCCCCTTTCTCCGGAAAGGATTGAAACTTATAATAGGAACTATACAAGCATAGTCTGAACAAATCTTTGTTTCCTAAAAATTGAGCCTGCAAAACTAATGTCTGGCAGAAGAGAAGAACACCCCAATCTAGTGTGAGAAACCAAAGGAACATGCCAGAGATGCTCTTAGTTCTGCCAGAGAAGGTCTTCACTAAGCTTCAAAGGAATATGGAGCTTCTACACTTAGCCTGGGCAATTCTTTGCACTCCCAGCATCTTCAGTCCAAACCTGATGCCGAGAGGAAGGTGTTGGGACATTTCTGTTGACATGGTCAGTACTGATGCTGCAATTTCCTCGGTTTATCTTTCTGACAATATTTAATATAGTAGTAACAGAGCTAGTACAGGTCTGTCTTTTCTAGCCCCCGACCCTGTCTTTTACTAACCCTCAAAGCAAAGCTATCTGCTCCTGATGATATCATCCAGCTCTTCTGCTAAATAGCAGGATGACCCTGGCCATTTCCACATGGGTTATCTTGCCCTGGGTCCAGTGCTATTGGGAAGCAGGTATTTTCCTGCTTCACAGCATTGTCCTGCATTCATGCACCTCCCTGGGTTTCCTTGGCTTTTCTCAAATATGTCTCAAACCTTCCTTACTGAAAAGTTGTGGGAATGATCACAGTAAAGCCTGGATGGGTGCTGTGTAGGGAGGCCAGATTGCCTACTACAGTTGGGAACCTCCTGCTCCTGGCTCCCTACTGATGTTTGGTGGAGCAGCAGAAGCAAAATAAGGGGCGGAAAGTGGCAGTGTGCCATGCTCTAGGAATTCCTACGGCGTCATGCAATGCCATGACCAGAAATGACATCACTGGCACATGCTGCCCTTATTTGTAAGCCGCCCTGAGCCCGTCCACGGGGAGGGCGGGATATAAATGTAATGATAAATAAATAAAATCACAGCATTGTGCAACACCAGTTTCTGGTGCCTCCCTGCCCCAGCTCCCGTAGGCTGCCAGTTGACGCATACTACGCCAGTGGGAAAACCTGGATTCTCCTGGTCCCACTCTCATGGCAGCCATTTTCCTTTACACTATTCCCAGGGCAGCCATTTCCTTCCCAGTGACAGGGGTTTTTTCTTTCATTGCCAGTTGAATATCATTATATCAATATCACATTATAACAAAGTGTAGACCAGGTTCCTGAATTCCCAGCTTTTGTTTAAAAGTCAGCCTCCAGCCTCTTTCATTGCAGAGATATAAGAAGAAAATCATATCTGTACAATGGAAGGAGCTAGAAATTTATTTATTTTTAAATGAAAGCTGAGAATTCACAGATTCAGTTACACATATTATTATAACATTATTCTGAAGTAACAAAATTCAATTGATGATTTCTAAAAAAACCCAAAAAACTGAAAAAGCCCCAGTGGCCCAGGTTGGTGGTGGCTGCTGTTGAGGAACTGGGGCAAGAAAACGGTGGGAAAACCTTCCATGTGGAAGCCTTGTTGCTGCTGCACTTTATCAGCAGCTGCATCAGCAATAGGGAAGCCACAAAAGCGGAAACCTGTGTGGAAACCACCCCTTTCTACGAGTCAGAATCTGGCTCTGCCATTTACCCGGTTTGCTGCTTCTCCCTCCTCATGTTGGCTCGATGACGACAATTCTTCTGCTCTTGCCTTGATCAGCCGGCAGTACATCAGAGCAATCCTACACATGTCCTAGCAAGATGAATGAAAGCGTAAGGTGCCAAGTATAATTGTGATCTTGAGAAGGGCAGGCTTCTGGCAATCTATGACAAAGGTGGGCTTCATCATCACATCCCACGAGGAAACTTGGCTGCCTCCTTTCTCCTCCTGCGTGGGAAGGCAGAGCGTACCATAAACCAGCACAAACAATTGTCCTGAGACTCATCCAGACATCAAGGGGTGCAGTCTCGCACACAAGCACTTTTGCACACATCTTCTCAACAGCCTGGAGCCATTTAAGAGATGTGACTCTTCCTTCTGGCTGCTGACTGAAAGCAGAGCTCAAAATGGCAGCCAAGAAGGGAGGACCTCTTCTCCTCTCCAACTCCATGTCAAATGCAAAATGCCCTGGTGATGGGTGAAGAGCAGCTTCAAGCTGGACTGTCTGTAACTAGTAGGAGAGGCATGGGGAGGAAACTCAGACAAGAGGAGGGTGTGGACTAAAGGAATCTTTCTTTAATCATTTCAGAACTTCTCAGCACCTGATTCTTTCCAAAGCCTCCCCCCTCTTATTTTCCTATACCTTCACAGCAATAGTAAGAGAAAAGATATTCCTGATATTTGCCTCAGATAGTCTGAAACATGTGCTTAATTTCTGCACATAACCATTCGTCATCTTAATATTACCCAAACTTTGAGAGCTGGTGACATGTAGTGATTTGATCTAGGAGACCTGGGTTCAAAACCCACTCAGCCGTGACACTTTCTGAGTCACTTTTGGGCCAGTCACACTCCCTCACAGGATTGTTACGATGATCAAACTGAGAAGGGAGAACTATGTACACTTTCCTGAGCTCTTTCAAGAAACAGGCAAGATAAAAACGTGATAGATAACGAACCTCAACAAACTTCACCATGATAATGAAAGCCTCCTCAGGGTCTGGCCAGTCCAGCTGCTGCCAGGTCTTGACCATCTGAGCATAACAGGTAGATAAGTCCACAGTGGATGTGCTATGTTTATTCAGCTCCCCCAGTGGCTTCAGCTAGGCAAATGGGAAAAAAAAAACACATACAACAGTTAATCAAAGGTAGAGCTTGTTTTTAAGTCGTTGGGCCCTTTGGAATCTCCAGGCAACACAAATGGGGCATTCACACCTAAATTTCTGATCCTTAACCACTTCATCCAGAATGTCCAATCAGGTCTTTGCAGCCCATCTGCAACACTTGTAGCATCCTTTGGCAGCTACAGCAGTTTATAAAGGCACAGAAGAAATTCACCTTTTGCTGAACAACATTTATAAAGCCATAAAGAAGCAAACATGCCTCTTTCTCTGTCTGGCATTATATGGAATCAGAACTTCCAGGCACTTGTCTCTGATGTTTAAGGACCAGAGCAGACATGACAAAAATTATGGATCTCCCATCAGTTTCTGAAAGCTAACTTGACTGCACGTACAGCTCTATCGTGTATTCCAGCAACATGGGAAGGGGAAGAGGATATCTGATCTTTCAATCCCCACTTGGTTAAGCTAATGAAAATTGAATTATTTGCATTTTTAGTAGCATTTTAAAGGGGGGGGGACACTGTGGTATGAAAGCACATATTTCTTTTTTAAAACCACTAAAAGCAGCCCGGGAAGTCTAGCTTCAATTATCAAAACTATTTGGGAGTTTGAAGAATTAAACCCGCTCCCTGTGTGGCTCCAGTTCAAACTGTAGCTGCATGCACATGCAGTTTAGGTAAAGGTAAAGGTTCCCTTGCTCGAAAGCCAGTCGAATCTGACTCTAGGGTTGCGGTGCTCATCTCCGTTTCAAAGCCGAAGAGCCAGCGCTGTCCAAAGACGTTTCCATGGTCATGTGGCCGGCATGACTAAACACCAAGGCGCACGGAACACTGCAGTTTACCATGACCTTTATCACATTTTGGGAAGGTCTTCAGTGAACCCAGTGCTAGAGAGCTTTGAATGTGCAGAACATTATCTTCCATTTCCTGCCTGGCATATCTGCTAATCTGGAAAAATGCATCTATAACAATTTCCACGTAATATACCAATAAAATAAAGAGCAGGTTTTGAGATAAAATTAACATGGTGGAGGTGAATGATACACAAGTCAATGTGTATCTGACAGCTGACAGCTAACAACAACTGACTTTTTTTTTGTTACTGTGGATCCCTTACCTGATCCACTTGTACAGCTCTCTGAGTCCTTTCCAGGCCTACTGTGTATGTCTTCTGGAGCCATATGGGGATGGCTTCCTTAAACCACCGGTGGAAATTCATCAGTTCAAGAGGAGCTTCACTGGAAATAAAGAGACACAACAACTCCTACATAACAAGGCAGATTCATGGATGGGAGACTGACAGTGCACTACTCCAGTCTAAGCCCATTGAATCAACCCACGTAGGATTGCACTGTGAGCCTTCCAGTTGTACCAACTCCGTGGTTCCAACCTGGTTTTGCTCCACAGTTTGGTGATTAGGCACAGCAATTGGAAACCTGTTTTCAACAAAACACTCAGCAACACACTATATTATCTCAGCAGTGCAGGCTAAAACAAAGCCACTCATAGCTGATAGGCGCAGGCAAGATATACAGCAGTCTCCATATGACAGTCATAAAAACATGTAATCTGTTCTGAAGGCAAAGCTTCGCCTTGCCCTCAGCAGAGGTCAGCACCTGTTGCACAGAAATTCTTTCATGCGCTGCAGTTCCCGCAGGTTGAGATAGAGCTGGAAAAGGTTCTCTGCTGTCAGGTGGGACATGCCACTGTCCATCTTGCTCAGCTGCTCCTTGACATAACAGGAGACCTGTAGAACACCAACAGAAGCTATAGTTTGTCACTAAGAGACCCCACTAGATAAGCTGCCATTAGGTAAAGGTTCCCTTGCTCGAAAGCCAGTCGAATCCGACTCTAGGGTTGCGGTGCTCATCTCCGTTTCAAAGCCGAAGAGCCAGCGCTGTCCGAAGACGTTTCCGTGGTCATGTGGCCGGCATGACTAAACACCAAGGCACATGGAACGCTGTTACTTTCCCACCGAAGTGGTACCTATTTATCTACTTGCAATTTCTTGCTTTCGAACTGCTAGGTTGGCAGGAGCTGGAACTAGAGATGGGAGCTCTCTCCATCATGCAGCACCCGGGTCTCGAACTGCTGAACTACTGACCTTCCACAGCCTGCAGTTCAGCATCTTAACCACTTGAGCCACCGTAGCTCCTAAGTTGCCATTACCAAAGGACAAAAAAAATCTAATACACTGTGCTTTGGGCTACCTCTGAAAACCATGTTAGAAATTCAAATGGTACAAAATATAATTGCTGGCATATCAATTTTAAAAAAATAAAACAAAACATAATGGAGACATAATTTGCATTGCTCTCAGATACATGCTTGGGACCCTATAACACCATATCACCTGCCTTGAAATTAAGGACAGTAACTACAATGATAGGGAGCATAGCACTGTAACTGTCTTTCCATGGTTTTCTCATCATTTCTTTATGATTTTACAAGCTTCCTTTGATCCCATTGAGAATGCATGGAGAACCAATGAAGAAACCACAGAAAGACAACAAATGGAAAATGAGGAAGCTGGGGGGGAGGGAACACATTGCTATTTGGCAGCAAAACCACAGGATAACTTGCATGTGGAAAAAAACCCCAGAGAGATCCTGCACCCCAGAATGCCTCAGCCAACTCACAGCAGTCTCCATCTGCCTCTCTTTCTGACTATGCCAGAATCTCAACTGCTGTTTCTTCACACAGGGTGCGGTCACACTGTCCCTTTGATCGGGATTCGCCACTGTTTCCTCCCGCATTTAAAGTTTCTGTTTACACACGCCAATCTGCCTCCCGCATCAAAGCAGGCTCACTCGCGCAATACTTGCGCAATACTCGCGGTTTTTCCTGACCCCGGGAAAATCAAGTACTTTCCTGGATCTCGCGCTTTGAACGCGCGATTTCACCTATGTGAACAGCCCTCTTTCGCAATGATTTCGCAATGATTGCAAATAGGGCCGTCTGACCACTCTCTGAAGTTGTGTTTTTTTTAAAAGCTTCCGGTTTGAGCGCATGGGCAGGCATTCGCTTAAGAAGTCAATTTTTTAAAAAAAAACAATGTTAGTGCTTACAGCATCCTGGTGGAGGCAGGAATGAGAGGTGGGGGCTCCGGCAGCCTGGATGGGGGTGGCAAGCAGGTGGCGGAGACGGCGCCCAAGCAGCACGAGTGGCTCGCGCCGCGCACCTTCCTGCTGGGCCTCGACCTCCTTGCCGCCCAGAAGCGCCAGGAGAAGGCACGCCAGGCTGGTGGCGACTGGGCCGATGGCAAGGACAGCTCTGCGGCCGCCCAGGAGCACCTTCTGCCGTCGCCGGATGGGGACGAGGGTGAGGGGGACAGCGAGCAGCCAGTAAGAGGGATGGCTCTTGAGGGGTAGTGTAGACATGCAAAACTGGAACAAAATATTCCCGTTTAAATTAAAGCGGGAACAAGGTGCATTTACAGCGCCGTGTGACCAGGGCCACATAGACACAGACCTGACCCTCTCTTCACATCTTCCAATAGCTGATAGGTGCTTGGACAGAGCCATTTCCTAACAATTAAGACCCACTGAAGTAATATCAATAATTGTCAAGAAACATGACCCTTTTGTGTTTGGTTCCCCACAGCCATGCCACTCTAGACCACTCCTGTAAGATAGATTGATCCTTAGAAAACAGAAGATAAGCTCACAACAATACCCACATGACTGGTTGCTACACAGTGATCTAACCCAGGATTAAAAAAGTTAGTATGGATTAGTCCAAAGCCAAACCATGAACACAATTGGCTGGGGAAGTGTAATTATTTAGTAGGATTCAGATGAACCTTCACCCTACCTCTGGATTAGCAGGGTGAAGCCAGCATTCCTACTATTTTTAAAAAACATTTTATTAAAATTATACAAACATATTTATAACATTTTGTGGAACATTATCAATATCATTATATAATTTTGCAATTTATAATAAGTAGTGTAACAAATGTATATTGCTTATCTTAAGTGGGTTTTTTTACTGTTTATTATTATTACCAAATAAGTAGAGTATTATTAGTTGCTGTAGATTTTCCGGGTTGTGTGGCCATGGTCTTGGCATTGTAGAACCTGACCGTGCCAGATGGATATTTGAACCACAATTTCTCAGTGATGAACTAAATCATCTAAATCATGCACTTCAAGCAAATGGCTACTCCAAGAATGAAATCAGAAGAGTGATTTCAACAAATAAATAAATACCAAACAGAAATAGTCTGTCTACAAGAAACACATATTAACAAAAATGATGTGAAATACTTGATTAATAAAAAACTAGAACCTTTTATAGCGGCGGATAACAAAAAGAAAAGAGGAGTAGTAACCTATGTTAAGACCTCCTTGAGTCCAGAACTGTTATATAGATCAGACGATGGTAGGATTGTGGCAGTCACAATAGTAAGAGAAGGGAAAAAATTGATAGTCATTAACATTTATGCTCCCAACCAAAAACAAGAAACCTTTTTTAAAGAACTAAAAACTATAATAGACAATGTTACAATGGAAGAAGTATGTATAATAGGAGATTTTAATGCAGTCTATTATGTTAAAATAGATAGAAAATCGGAAGCTTTTTCTACAAACTGCAGAAGAACACACTATGATAGACGCTTGGAGGACAAGAAACTTGGAGAAAAAAGATTATACTTTCTACTCTCATAGACATAAATCATGGTCAAGAATAGACACTGCTTGGATTTCGGCTTCAATGATAAAAGAAGTAGAAGAAATAGAAATATTACCAGGAACATTTGCAGACCATAACCCAATATTAATCTCATCTCATTCCACACAAAGAAAAAATAGATGGAGAATGAATACTGATCTTCTAAAAGATCCAGAATTTATAAGGAAACCAAAAATTGAAATACAACATTTTTTTAAGAATAATATACAACTTGAAACACCAATAAATACGGTTTGGGACACGTTCAAATAAGAGGTTGGTGCATAAACTAGCAAGTGTGGAAAATGAAACAGAAAAGGATAAAATATGAGCGTTTAAAGAGCAAGATACAATATGAACAAACTAAAATGAAAACTAAAAATATAGAGGTAATAAAGAACAATATGAATATGTTTCAACATGAGATGAACCTATTACTAACACAAGAAATAGCCAAAAATATAGATCATGCTAAACAGCAATATTTTGAAAATGCAAATAAACCAACTAGATGGCTACCTTATAAGATTAAGAAAGAGAAAGAACAACAGGTAATCTCAGCGTTAAAAATGATAACAATGAGCTTAAATATCCTAATGATGTGAAAGAGATAGCGGTGAAATTCTATAAAAATTTATACCAACTTAAGGAACAAGAATCATTGCAAATAGGAAATTTTTAAAAACAAAATAATTACACAAAATTTGATGAAACTCAAAAGAAACTTTTAAATGAAAATATATCACCCTGTTAAATCATTGAAGCAATTAAGAGACAAAAAAAGAGGAAATCATCAGGACCTGACGGGTTACCAGTAGAAATATACCAAATATTCGAAGAAGAGATTTTCATACCATTTAAAGAACTAATACAAAATATAATGAGAGAAGGGGAAGACATCAATATCATGGAATGAAGCCCTCATTACACTAATAAATAAGCCAAGGATGGACACCAAAGAATTAAAAATTATCGACCTATCTCACTATTAAATGCTGATTATAAAATCTTTGCGAATATATTAGTGGCAAGATTCAAAAAAGTATTAGCACAAACGATACATCAAGATCAAGCAGGTTTTCTTTCTAAAAGACAAATTAAAAATAATATAAGAACTATTATTAATGTACTAGAGTATTATGAAACACATCCGGAGAAACATCTAGCACTGGTATTTGTGGATGCAGAACAGGCATTTGACAACATGTCATGGGATTATATGATTCAGAAGCTGAGAGTATGGGACTGTGGTTATAATTTTCTTTCAATTATTTCGGCAATATATAAAGAACAAGCCAAAATTATAATTAACGGAGAATTGACAGAAAGTATAGTAATACAAAAGGGAACCAGACAGGGGTGTCCCTTATCTCCACTATTGTTTGTCTTTGTCTTAGAAACATTAAATAATTTAGTAAGAGAAAATAAGCAAATAAAAGGACTGAAAGTTAAAGATGAAGAGTTCAAACTTCAAGCATTTGCGGATGACCTAGTCTTTATCTTGGAAGAACCAGAGACTTCGATGGTACTCTTGTTAGACACAATACAAAAATATAAAGAAAGAAGTAGCAGGATTTAAATTAAATACAAAAAACCTCCAAAGATAATGGCAAAGAACTGCACACAGGAAGAGAAAGATGAGATCTCCAAGATCGCAAAGTTGGAAATAACAAATAAGGTTGTCTACTTAGGTATTCAGATGACTAACAGAAATAGTGGATTACTATTACTAACTTTTCTATATCTCTATTATTCTATTACTAATTTACTAATTTTCCCTTATCTTAAACTTAACTATTACTAACTTACTCTATATCTCTAACTTTACCTTATCCACTAGTAATCTATCTTAAAAACCTATATTATATAATTAACTACACACCTTAAGGCTCCTGCACTACAAGTGTAGAAGGGCAGGGCTTCTTCTCCTGCCTCCTTTCTAAGGTTTCCTTAAATCTGGGGACTTCACTCTGTACTAGAATCTAACCTTTTTCTTTTTTCCTCTCTCTACCCCTTATTGCTGTATATCTATTTTAATTATTAAACAAAATATAAGAAAAACAACTTAGCTAAGAACTATAATAAAATATATTGTTCTATTCATTTTGAATCCATACCCTTAAGGTAAAGTTTTTTAGCTGAGGGTACAGGTATTTTACTGTCCCTTAGTGGTGCAAAATTAAACTTAAGTCTTCTTTTGGGCTGTTTTCTGCTTACTTCTGCTGGTTCTTTCATTCCCAGTTTCTCTAATAAACGAAGTCCAGTTTCAGGGTCAGTTGCTTGGAGTTTTAGTCCATTATGGATGATTTGTAATATAGCTGGACCAATCCATTTGTATTTTTGTTTTTCTTCCTGACGTTGAGTGGCAATAGGTTTTAATTCTCTTTTTTTAGTTATTGCTTCTGGTGGTAGGTCTGGGAATGCTCTGCTGATGCTGACTATTCCTCAGATAAGGAAGAGGCAGGGAGCAACCCAGCCTCCCCTGGAGTCAGCCCAGAAGAGGAACCTTTACCAGCACCTGAGGGAGAAGAGGCCCCAGCAGCTGCACAGGAGTGGCAGCAAGGTGAAGAGATTGAAGTGCAGTCAGAGGGAGAGACTGATCCAGAGCCTGGCTCAGCACCCCCAGTTGGAGACACCCTGAGGCCAGAATCCCCACCTAGCTAACCTGATTGTCCCAGACACAGGGCATGCCACTGTCTGAATGTGCGAGAAGGAGGAGTGCGAGACTTCAGCTGTTACAAAGGCAACATGAGGGGCTGTGAGTCTTTCTAGATTTTTGGTACAGAAGCAACTGTGTATTCTCAGACCTAGTCCCAGCTCAGCTTCTGCTCCTCACTCCTAGCTCCTGAAACCTCTGGCTGATTTCCTGGCTTTCTAAGCTTCGGCTCTGTTTCTCGGCTTGCTTTTGGACTGCATATCCAGCTTTCAGTGAAGGGTATCCGTGGCGACCAGCCAAACCCAGCACAACCCCCAGCATTCCTATTATATCTTTAAACATTCTGAGACAGCAAGAGACTATGTAATCTCTCTCTTCACTCACCCATCCCCTCCTCTACACTACTATAGAATAAAACTGGAGTCCTGATTACTATAAAGCAGCTACTTACCAGCTCCTGAAGTTCTAAGTATGCAATGGAGAAGAGATCCAGTCGCATGGCACTACAAGGGTGGAGAACAAAAAAATGGTAATCAGAAATTTGCTATAGAACTCCAGATGTTCTGAACCACCAGGTTTATTGCAAATCCTTTTAGCAATTAGAGGCTCAGGGCCAAATGCATCCCTTTAAACAGCACTAGCTGGCTGAGTGCCTCCTTGCACATGACATAGTCCTTGTGATATTTGGGCTTTGAAGCAGAGGTTCAATAGGAGTTTGTGTCTCCCAGATTCATATGTGTACTTTTCTCATTGAAACTGGAATGCGAGGGCAGAAGTGGCTGCAGTCTTCCCCTCCTCACTGTTTTCTTCTCCTTGCATGGCTGCACACAAGTTTTGCAAAAGAACCAATAGTGGCTCCACAGGGCACTTCAAAGAGAAGAAACCAACATGGAGGGGAAAGCTGAAGCCTCTGCATCCCAGCTATGAGAAAAAAAGGGCACACATGAATTTAGGAGATGCAAAATTCCCCACTGAATGTCTGGTTCAAAGTCCTTATGTCTTTGGACTGAGAAGGCAGAACAAAGAATTGAAGTCCTGGAAACTCAATGCAGATCTAATAATCTGCATTTTAGAGGAATCCCAGAGGATTTTGGGAGGCCAAATCTGGGGGGGGAAACTTTCATGATTTACTTCAGAATTATTCGAAGGTAGAGGATTTCTGACATCCAGATCTTTTAGAGTAAATTCAAGATTTGCATTCAAGAGTAAGCTACCTCGAGATATACTGGATCAATTCACCTACAAGAAAACACAAGACCCAATACTAAAGAATCAAAGGGAATTACCACTCAGGGTTGCGGGGAAAGAAGTGCATATCATTCAGGATTTAGCAACAAGTGTGTTAAAGAAAAGGAATGTTGGAACATATAAAGTTTATGTTGGAACATAGAAAAATATTAAATCAAACAATAACAATTCAAGAAGTCTCTCAAGCAATAAAGAACATGAAGAAGGATGGGTGGATGGGTTGACAGCAATGTATTATAAACATCTTGAAGAAGTATTATAATACTGTTACAAAAAGTTATGAATGAGATAAAGGGGGAAAAGGCAACACCCCTGACGTGGCAAGAGGTGCATATAACACTAATTCATAAAGAGGGCAGTGATACATCACTACCACAGTCTTACAAACCTATTTCTCTGTTGAATGTAGACTACAAAATTTTTGCCACAATAATGGCAGAAAGATTAAGAAAATGCATACCAAATTTAATACACTCTGATCAAACAGGTTTTGTACCACAGGGGCACATGAAAGATAATATATGATTTATAATAGATGCAATTGAATTTGTGAATAAGAAGAGAAAGAAAGCAGCATTTCTATTTCTAGATGCAGAGAAAGCATTTGACAACTTAATATGGCCTTTCTTAAGGAATATTTTTCAAAATATAGTCTGTGGTCCTGCATTATGGAACTGGATGCACAGAATATACTCAAACCAAGAAGCAAAGATTTTAATTAATGGGAAACTAACAGAAGAAATTTCAATTGAAAAAGGAACACAATAGAGATGTCCTTTATCCCCTTTATTATGTATACTAGCAATAGAGATTTTAGCTATAAAGACTAGACAAGACAACAGAATTAAGGGAATAAAAGTAGATGATGCAGAATTCAAAATGAAAAGTTATGCAGACAATGTGGTTCTAACAGTCTTGAAATCCCCAGAAATCGTTGCAATATCTAATTGAACATATTGAAGAACTTAGATCCCTATCAGGTTATAAAATTAACAGGAAAAAGCCAAAAATTTATAACGACATTTTTAACACAAGAACAAGAAGAAGAGATTATAAAGAGAACAAAGCGCTCAACAGCCACTGATCTTATTAAATATTTGGGAATAAATGTGACTGGGCTAAACTGTGATCTTTTAAAAAAATAACTATCAGAAAATTTGGAAATCAATTCAAGCAGATTTATTAAAATGAAAAAAACTAAATCTCATGGCTGGGAAGAATCTCTACAATTAAAATGAATGTGCTGTCAAAATGAAACTTTTTGTTCCAAAAGTTGCCCATATACATAGAAGAAAGAATATTGAAAGAGCAAAGACAGATAAATGAATTTATATGGAATGGCAAAGAAATAAGAATAAGCTTCAAAATATTACAAGATGAGAAAAAGTGTGGAGGTTTAACAGTCCCAAATATAAAATTATATTACCAAGCAGCAGGTCTGGTCTGAATTGTGGACTGGATTGAAAACCCAAGACAAAGAACCGTAAAATTAGAATCGGCAGATCTTGATGAAGACCTACACAATTACTTACGGACTAAGAAATCAACTAAAAAGATCATAACACAAGAAAGAAGTCACATAATCAGAGATGGACCTTTGAGAATATAGTTTATCGAGCCCCTCAACCTCTTTGCTTATGTCCCCAATCTTGTGCAGTTCCGCAGGGCCTGCAAGACGGAGCTCTTCCACCAGGCCTTCAACTAGGAGCTGCCCACATTACCATCACATTACCATCAACGACCACTATTAATATCTGTGTGGGAGGTTGGTTGCAGTGAGATCGAATCAAACCGCCTAGGAGACTGTAATCGCCTGAGCCTGCATGACACGTCACACCATCTTGGTTGCTAATTACTGAGTGCACTTTATTCGGCAATTGCCGATTGTTTATAGGTTTTAAATGTTTTAACAGTGTTAAATGTTAAGTTTTAAATGTTTTAACTGTATATGAATCTTGGCACATTGTGCCAGGCAATTTGAGCCGCCCTGAGCCCGCTTGCTGGGAGGGCAGGTTATAAATATAATAAATAAAATAAATAGAAGCTCATTATGATAGGAATACGAGAAATAAAAATGATCTTTTAACTTATGGCATGATGATAAACAGTCAAGAGAAAATCAAGTCTTGGCAAGATATTAAAGATTAAGCTGTATACATTCAATGGCTGATATATTTATTTATTTATTATTTATTTAGGTATTTTTACCCCGCCCTCCCCGCAAGCGGGCTCAGGGCGGCTTACCGAGGGCGACAGCCCATACATAAAATCCATAAAACAATAAAAACATAGCAGCAATTATATATAACAATAAATAAATAAGTGCTTCACAGCAAGATGGTCTTTGGTGATGATGGTGTCTCTGATCTTCAGTCAGCCCCGTTTGGGTACCACTCTCCAGTAGGTGTTGATGTCACACAGGGTAAGCTGTACTTCCCAGGGTGATCCAAATCCAGTTGTAATGTCCACCGTTGGTGATGGTGGTAGCGGCATCACCATCACTTTCCTCCCAAGGAGCAGGCGTCTTTTAATTTCATGGCTGCAGTCACAGTCTGCGGTGTTCTGGGATCCCAGGACCGTTAAGTCTGTCACTACTTCCACGACTTCCCCTTCTATTTGCCAAGGAGTGATGGGGCCGGATGCCGTGATCTTAGTTTTTTTGATGTTGAGCTTCAAGCCCACTTTTGTGCTCTCCTCTTTTACCCTGAGCAAGAGGCTCTTTAGGTCCTCTTCACTTTCTGCCATTAGAGTGGTATCATCTGCATATCTGAGGTTGTTGATCTTTTCCTCAGCAATCTTAATTCCCGCTTTAATGACCAGGGATTTACAGTATATAAAAAACAACTGTGTAATTCCTATGGTTCAGTAACAAAAAGCAAAGCAACTTCTGGCTTGAGAATGTGACAAAAAAGATCTAGAGATATTTCATCACTCCTGGCCAGTTTTCCCCTCTAGTTTTTCTACCTAACTTAATGGTAGATAGTAAGCATATTCAAATACACATTCAAATGAATTAATATAGGCAATAAGTAGCAGTTTACTTTATTTTATTCTCCTGGAAAAACCTAGCAATTCCAGCAAAGGGGTAGAATATAGCTATTGCTAGGCTTGGTGGTTCACTCCCTTGGCTTGAACAATTCACTCCAAAGGCTTCTTTTCTCTCTGGGTACAGTTTGAGGAAAACATTTTGTGAGCATCCAGCAAATTCCAGACAACTTCTTCCAGAGACTTACTTGCTGAAATATTTGTTCCAGACTCTGCAACACTGCTGGAGATCTGCATTAACTTCTGTGACAAGACTGACCAAAGCTTTGCCACACTCCTCCATGGTCTACAAAAGAAAAAAAAAATAAGGGAAGGAAGTCTTGGCATGAGCAGTTTGGCTTCCACTAGTCAAACTTTCATCAAACTGGTAGATGATTCTAATCTCTCCATGGGACAAAATGCATGCCCAAGAGACTTCAGAAATTACACAAGCTACCCCTTCTTTGACATCCTATCCTCCTTCTGTGCATTGTACTTATTTACAGCTTGACTTGTACTTTGCTCCCATACTTTCTCCTGCTCAGCTGAAGAAGGGGAAAACCTTTCTCCAGCTCAAGGTGGAATTGCAGGGTGGTTGTGGGCAGAGCATCCATGTGGACACACTTCCCACAGCCACTCTGGAGAAGGAGAGAAGCTAATCTTCATATCCTGACCCTGTTTAGTCCTTTAATGGGCTTTCCCCAGCCCCCATAAAATGAGTTGCAGTGTTTTGAGCACCACAGCTCAGCTGTGAAACAGGGTTGCCAGGATGTCAACACTTCAGCACCAATGAAACAGCAAAGTGGAAGGACCCATAATGGCTCTTGTTACAGAAAATCTGGGCTCAAGTAACTTAGTGGGGATTTTTTACACGAGATATTTCTCATCCATCCAGCCAAACTATCTCGGTGTTCCCCAAGGGCCTGTTCGTCTGAATAAACATGTAGCCTGCATAAAGATATCATTACAAGTTGAGATCCTACCAAGACTGGGCATGGACACAGCCTGTTTCCATGCTCACATGCTCCCCTTGCTCCCCCTTCATGTACAAAGCTTGACTCAAAGCTTTCTGGCCTGCTCAAGCTCCAAATCGCCCTGACATCCAAATCCATGTGGGATGGCAAATCAGCCCTGTTTACTCCAATGTTCCGGGATTCTAAACTGGGGTACAGAACCCTGATTTATAGAGACTAAACCATTTGCTGAGGTACCTGTATTCAGGCTACAAGGCGAACTGGAGCTTGATTTAATCAGGATGTTTTTGAAGCAAGCTCCATGTGCAAAAGAAAGCAGGAGCAGTAAAGAGAGCATGCAAGCATGACAACAAGCTGTGGTCATGCCCAATGGTAGCTTGTGACAGGCAAATGCAATCAATCAGTGATGTGGGCTATCACAGATACATATGAAAAAGTACAAATATTTATTAAGGTGTACACGTGTTTAAACTTTCCTGATTAAAAATTGCTTTGTCTAAAATCAGACTGTATCAGCTTGCCCACTATACATACAAATGATGGGTAAAAACTTTACAACCAAAGACCATATGGCCCATCACTAATACCAGGAGTCCAATTATAAGTTGACAAGGTAACTTTATCTTTAATAGAATCATTTTTTATTTAATAATGATTTCTTTTATACATTTGGACAAAATAATGAAGATGTTTCTCTCCCCCCCCCCTTTATTTTTCTTTGAACAATTTCAGGAAACAACATCTGGTTTAATTATATGGATATTAGAATTCTGTAACAGGTCTTTGAATGTGTGTCTAGAATATATAGATAATAGCTATCACAGATACAGCCAGCCAAAATTTCTGTGCTTGGTGTGACTGGAAGAGAAATGATCTGATGTCTCTCAAAGTAAGTTGCTGCTGCTGGCCATATCCATGGCATCTCAGATTACATTTGTTTACATTGTATTAGCTTACATGACTGCTTATTTGGTTGAATTGCCTTCCTGAACAAGAAATGCAGTGTGTGAACCATTTCTTTCATAGCTGTGGCTGGAATAAGGAAAGTTTGGCAAATGCAAATGGACTGGTGTGGCCATCCTAGAATCTATGGGTGTGACAGACAGGAGGCTGCCCTGCCCCTGAAGGGAAAAACAGACACTCACTTGAGCCTATGGCCCAATCTGCATCTAGTATTTGCTCCATTGTTGTACCAAACCCACACTGGAACAGAAAAAATGCGGCTCAAAACCACATTCAAATACCCCAGGTTAATGCCGTACTGACTGCAGAGTCACCTCCCCAATGGCCATAAAACGGCCATAAATCTATGCAGACAGCCACCATAAAACCAGAGATCAAACAAAGTGAAAGCAGCATGCAGTCTGGACGCTGCTATAAAATTCGACAATCAATTAAAGTGAAAATGGCATGCAATGTAGATGGGAATTTCTGTTCCAGTGTGGGTTGGGTAAGTATGGGAGTGCTGTTCCAGCATCCAAACACTTTTCAGAAATGGGATGGAATGTTGGAGGGAGCACATCAGGAATTCAGTCAGCTCTGCCTGAGGCCCAGTCTGCATCTAGCATTTGCTCCGCTGTTATACCAAACCGACACTGGAACAGAAATTCCCGTCTACATTGCATGCCACTTTCACTTTGACTGAGTGTCGCATTATATGGCAGTGTCCAGACTGCATGCTGCTTTCACTTTGTTTGATCTCTGGTTTTATTGTGGCTGTCTGCATAGATTTATGGCTGTTTTATGGCCATTGGGACTCTGCAGTCTGTACGGTGTTGGCCCGGGGTAGCTGAATGTGGTTTTGAACTGCATCTTTTCCTGTTCCAGTGTGGGTTTGGTAAAACAACTGAGCAAATGCTAAATGCAGATTGGGCCTGAGTGAGAGAGCAATGACAGCTCAGGTCAGACTCAGGAAAAGAGCAGACAGAGAGTGAAGGGTAGCTCTGCTTGGTAGTGCGGCAGAAGTGGTTTTGCTCTACTTCTGAGAAAGAATAAAGTACCTGATTGTTAGGCCTATCTCTGGCAATGAGCAGACTCTGTACCATTTAGTCTTTCTCTCTTAGGAAAGGGCAGGCTGGTGTGGGTGGTATCCTGTGTGTGAGAGGATCCAACCTAATGGCTAATCAGTAAACGTCTGACAGTATTAAAGAAAATTCAAATTGCATTCTGAAGCCATAACAAGCTTAAATTTATGTCCTCAGCTGGGTTTCTCCTCTGACTATCTGAAGACCTGTGCTGCTGGCCTGTTCTTTGAAAGCAACTTGTAATAAATCTTCTGCCTTGTTCATATACCATTCCTGCCTCAGTAATCTCCATATTCTATTTGCTCGCCACAAAACTTACCTCACAGCAGTGAGCCCAAAGCCTATACACTTGCCACCTTTAGAACACCTGGTAACTGAGGGAAAGGTTTGTAGTTTAAAACAAACCTAGTTCCCCCAAAATCATTGGAGGCTGTGTGGGTCTCCTAATCTTGTAGAAAAGACCTGTCACAATGGGATTCACAAGCCTGCAGCCCATGGCAACCCGAATGGAAAGAGAGATTTACCTTGACCATTGGCTTCAGGTGTTGTTTCTTCATCTGAAACCATTCTGCTGTTCCTGACTAAGAAAACAGGACATGGAATGAAAAGCACTGCAGCAGCATTCTGCAAGCTTCAGACCACATTTAAAACCCTCATGAGGGGAATGGGCAAACACTACTCACATATGAATAAATAATTATTTGGCCTGATGTCAGAAGTTGCATCATGCCAGATGTCCAACAATGGTATATAGGACACAGAGAGTGGACTAGGATTAAAACTAGATAGGAGCAATCCCATGAAATACAGCATTGTCCGCAGAAGAAAAAGTGCCCCATACATTTCTCTATAGAGGCAGGAAGTGGCAATCCAAGGCCAGCAACCATGGCCAGTTTGGAAGAGGATGAATGTCCCTCCTTTTCCCAGTTTCACTTGACTGCTGAAAGAAAGAACATAGGGATTCTCAAGGCCTCATGAAGGGACTGAACTAACGGGCTTGGGAAGCAAGAGCATTAAGACACCTCCATGGCTGTGTACCTTGAGTGCCTCGGTCACCATTTGTTGAAGATCAGGGGTCACAGTACAAAGTTCTCTGAAGGCTTTCATTTTACAAATCTGAACCAAGAGCCTGCAAAGATGAAAACCATTGCTAAAATAATGTATTTAAGATCTAGTGTTTCTGGTTCTTCTTTCCCATATCCCACAAAATAAGTTGGTCACTCCTCTTTTGGCTGGGCTCCTGTGTTTTTCATACTGTTGTGATAGACAGAGATTCAATAGCTGAACTTTGCAGCAATGGGGAAAGCTTCCACTGTCAAGCTTTCACCCTGCTGGAATAGACCCAGCATTCTCTCAGCAGCACAGGGACAATCCAGGACTATCCAGGACTGATTCTAGACACAATATCCCATAACCTGCTAGAACAGAATATATCCTGAGAGCGGATGGACTTGCAGGCTGGGGGGAAATGGTGAGAGTCAGCCCTACCAATGGAAAGCCCAAAACTTGTGCATATTTCTATAATTAGGATAGTCAGTATTGGAAAAAAGTCAGACAAGTGGATAAGAGTGCCAGTGGTTATAAGGCTAGGCTTCACTTCCCCATATCCCTTGTTCTAACCTGTGACTAGCAAAAACATAATAAATCAGTAAACTGACATGTGCTTATTGAATCCAGCTTCTCTTAGCAAAGAACATAGGGGATTTCCCAGCACTGAGTGCACACAGCTCCATTTATAGAGAACCATTCAGATGGCAAACCTGAGCAGTGATTGCAGCCTCTGTACAGAGTTTGAAGCAGAGAGCGGGAAGACGATCCGGTACCTCTGGAGAAGAGAGATCCCATAGGCCAGCAGGGACTGGAAAGACTCAGCCAATTCTGCTTTCTGAACAGAGCAGCAAAAGGATACATTAGCACTAATGAAGAGACACTGCAGTGTTCAGCAGCTCTTGACGGCAAAGATCCCTCACATTTTTCACAAAGTCCCCTGCACTTGCCCAAGCAGGGCAGGAGTTAGGGTCAGGAAGAAAAAGTACTCAGATGTGGCTTTCCCTCACTTCTAGAGGCAAAGATAGCCAATACAGATCTCCCATATTGGGCAAAGGTACAGTACAGATATAAATCTTTCAATAGTAGGAGGCAAAAACCTGATGCCACCACACAGTGGCTGAATTTGTGCATTAGTGTTGGTATTAAATCTGTGTCAGTGTTGCTAAACAAATACATACTAGGAACTGAGTAGAATTCCCTTGTATATAAATCTTTATTGTTTCTCAGGCTGACTCTGGTTAGACTGGAATATGCTTCCAGTCCTATGGACTGAGGTATGATTTTAACCTGTTCAGGTTTTAGTCGTCCTTGCACCCATTGGTACTCTATGCTGGTAATCTGGTGGAGTAGACAGTTGCTGTTGAACTCCAAGATCAGGTACAGCTTGCTGTAAGCCAACCACTTCCTGTGTCAAAGAGAAGGAAAGAATCACACCAAGCATTGAAATGATGATGAATAGGAGGAATCTAGCCATAAAAATAGAAGAAGGCAGCAATATTCCCTCCAAATTAGAGGGATTAAAATTAAGACAACAAAGAACTCTCATTTTCTGCAATCAGAAAATGTGCATATGGAAATAAAGCATATTAGGTCTTGGTTTTCCTAATTTCTCTTAGCAGTAAAACTCCAGATTATCACAGAAACTGGAATTTGTTATAGTAAAGTGAGGGACAGAAGCAGACATTACACAAATCAGTATATACTAATTAATAAGAAGTTCCATGGAGTGAGTCACGTTCACATAATTATGAGTTAAGAAGAAACACCAATCAAACTCATGAATAGGTTTCTAATCTGGGGGGAGGGATCAGCAGAGGCATCTAAATCAGAAGAGAGAAGAAGAAGAGAAGAGATTGGATTTATACCCCGCCCTTCACTACCCAAAGGTGTCTCAGAGCGGCTTACAAACTCCTTTCCCTTCCCCTCCCCACAACAGACACCCTGTGAGGTGGGTGGGGCTGAGAGAGCTCTTGACAGAACTGCTCTTTTTCAAGGACAGCCCTTATCAGAACTATGGCTTGCCCAAGGTCATCCAGCAGGTGCAAGTGGAGGAGTGGGGAATCAAACCCGGTGTTCCCAGATTAGAGTCCACACACTTAACCACTACCATTATAGGGTGTGTTCAGACTGTGCCATGCACGAGTGCCTGGTGGATGTAATTTCCAGACAGCAACATCTGGGAAACGTACCTCATCTGTGAGCACCCCATTTTGCCGTGCTTCGGAGCCATATTAAAAAGGTAGTACTTTAAAACTGGAGTTTTCGGTTCCTGACGGGCCATTCACGGACTTTCCCCCGTCTGATAGTTACAGCGCGCAATTAAAAAATGGCGCCCGTTCAGGATCCCGAACGGCACCATTTTAAAAAATCTCGATTCCGCACATGCACGGAGAAACAAGGACATGATGTCACACCTATGCGCTTGCACAAACTTTCTTTTAAAAAACCCACACACCGTGCATGCCTCCTTCAGTGGACACCGTCTGGACAATCCACAGCAGAGGCAGCACACAGTAAGACAATTCACGGGGGGCTGTCTGGTCATGCAACGATGGATTTAAAAAATCAGAATCAAATTAGAGCCGGGCTAATGGTGGGATTAGCTGCCCGTCTGAACGCACCCATATGCCACCATCCCTCAGTCACATGGTATATATGCAGACTTATTTCTCAGCATCTTGATGCAATAAGGAAGAATCATAACAATGTTTCTTAAAAATCAGAGAACAGAGGAGCAGAGCTCAGAACAGAAAGTCCCCTCCCAGAAGTAATCTCTCAAGACATATTTGTGAAGATGCTACTCTCTCAAACAGAGAGGCACAGGGAATACTCACGCCATATCCTGATGGAAGTTAGAAAGATCTTTCTGAGATGCATGTAGATACAAGATTGTACTGGCATGCTTGCTCAACTCTCCGTCCCAGGAAGTGCTGCCAGCCTGCAGAGGACAAGAGAGAAATTTTTTATTTCCTCCTGCACACAGGTCAGGTAGAAAAGAACAAGACTGCAGCAGTTCAGTCACTTAATGCTTTTTTCTCACTGAAACTCAGTTATGATTTGGCCCCAGATATCTAGGATATCTAAGCTCCTAGATATCTAGGATATCTAGTTTTGATTTGGCTCAAGATATCTAGATGAAAAAGACAGAAGAATCACTGAGTCCAGCCATTTGCCCTGAGGCAAGATATGTAAACATGACCATGAACATAGTTTATACTGGTCAGATTTCACAACCACTACAAGGGGAGATAAGGAATGTTCACAGTGTCACCAATAACACATCATATATCTAAGATCCGTTTCACAATAGTCAGTCATTGTGACTGTTGTATCTGGGCACATACCTTCTGGTGTTTAAAAGGCATGGTACCTCATTTCCACCTCCATCACATGTAACAGAATGTATCCTACCACTCAACTGAGCAAAGACTGAAGCTTTCCTTCAACTAAGATCCCTTTGTCCAACTTAAATCTCCTGCAATGGAAGAGCTACCAGTTGGAGGAAGGGTCATTAGGCTAGAGAAAGTTACTCCAGCCTAGGGTTGGATGTGCTACTCTTTCTTTCTTGGTATTTTTGTGCGCGCGTGTGTGTATGCACCCATGCCTGGAAGTCATGGCAACTTCTTGCGACTCCTACTGGGGCATGGAGGACATTCAGAGAAGTGGATTGAAAGCCTGCCTCTGGCCTCCCGGCCCTGGTATCCTCTGGAGGTCTCCCATCCAAATATTTGCCAGGGTTGGCCCTGCTTAGCTTCTAAGATTTGACAAGATTGGGCTTGCCTGGTCTATCCAGGTCAGGGCTATGTGCCACTGTTTCTTGTCTACATGCTGTACAACTGCTCAAACCTATCTGTGGATGCACTTCTGTTGGTGGAGCTACTAAACAGCCAGCCTACAGCTCAAGAGTTTGCTGTGAATCTCTGAGGGTTCCCCCCCCCCATGAGATTAACTAAAATGTTGCAACTGCACTCCAGTGGGAGTGGTGGATGAGCTTCCATAGAGAAGAACTCAAAGGCGCACATGACTAAATACAGGTGCATTGTTGAACATATCACCTGGCCTATTTTGAGAAGATTAATCTATACTTTACTGCCACAGTCTTTGCCTCAGTGTCCCTGAGCCATTTTTGTCCCCTGTCCCATTTACCTGGTGCTGAAGAATCTCATAAGAAACCAGCTGCTGAAGAATGTGCCGCTGGACTGTATAGCTTGGCTGTGTCTTACTGGCCGTGGTTGCCCTCTAAAAAAGGGAAATAAAGCCTGGAATTCAGCTCTTAAAGAAAATGGAGATAATCCATGTGTGACCAACAACTCACCCACTTGTGCACACTTGTGTACAATACCAAGAAAATGTTGGGATAGTCTCTTTACAACAAGAGTACAGCACACAGTAATAAATTACAAAGAACAGCAAACCTCAAAACAACTGTGTGCTATGTTTCCAGCAAGATCATTCACAAAGGAGACTTCATTTAAAGTGAAATGCATCTATTACATAAGGACATCTACAACTTTTATTTATTTATTTATTGTTTTTATTTTTAAAATTTATTTAATTAATTTATAATCCGCCCTCCCCACGAAGACTTTAAAGCAAGGAACAACCAGCCGTAGTCAGTTTAGACCCATGAAATAGACTCAGTAGGCTAGGTACTCTGAGGCATGTTTTGGTCCTGATACGTTGAAGCAGCCTTTAGGGGTGCTAGTTAGAGTTAAGGAGACATTGCCCAACATGTAATGGGTTTCTTTGTAACATTGTTATTATTCCTTATGAAATATTTTTAAAATAAGTGTTTGTCATATTATTGCATTTTGTATTTTTTACAGTTTTTTGTTTTTGGGGAAGGACCAGGTCTGAAACACTGAAAAATTACCTAGGAAAAGTGTTGGACTTTTTGTATATTAATTTTGTACAGTAATTCTTTGGCTTCTGCATTTTCGTATGGCAGATTGTATGGATATATTGACTTCACGTAATAGATGTATTTCACGTTAAATGAAGTTTCCTTTGTGAATAATCTTGCTGGAAACATAGCACACAGTTGTTTTGAGAGACAGTCTCTTTGACAGTTCAGATTTAGCAAGAGATTTTTGCCCTAGGTGTATCAGTACAACAGATGGCAGCCTGCTGTTCCTTACTTATTATATTTTATTCACGTGTCTCTAAAACATACTTTATTTAAAGTATTTGTAGCCCACCTTTCAGTATTATCCAAAGTTATAAACTATCAAATGAAAGCCACGTACAGTAAATAAAATCAGCATATAACAAGATACAAAAAGCAAAGGGTAAACTCACAGCAGGAAGGATAATCTTTTTTTTCATATATATTTTTATTGATTTTTCAATATAATGTACATTCACCTACAATCACCAATATCAATAAAATTCATTCTTAATACTTCACATAATTTACAATACAATCATTGATATTAATATAATTCATCCTTAATACTTTGCATAATTCTTACAACGCAACCTAGTTCTCAAACTACCTAATTTTCCACACAATCACTAATGATTCACAAATTACACGCATCCAATAATATTAATTTTTACTCTCTTTCTCCTTTCCCTAAACCTCCTTCATATTTGCTCCCTTGGGAAAAAATTTTTACAATAGATTTTCTTTACTTCCATCTTCTTATTAAGTTCCTTATTGCTTACATGCTAAACCACACTACTTATTCCTTTCCATCATTTCACTTTCAAGGATCCTGCTTTTTCCATCATTTCCCTTTCAAAGACACAAAAAAACCCCAACTGGCAATACCCAAACACGTATTGAGGACAATAGCAAATCAAGATAACCTTACTACACATTCTACCATATTCAAATTACTTAATTCCATTATCTTAGTCTTCCTATCCCTCATTCATATTCATTCAATTTTCCTCACCTATCCTTTCCAAACACATATACCTGTTCTTCCAACATCCTGTATATCCATTGTTATTTCCTATATACAAAGCCTAGAAATTTCTTTCCTCACTTTCCGTATGTCATATCTGAACCAACAACAAAAATATATTAAAGTCAGTACAGGGTAACCAAAGTATTTTTAGTGACCATTTTTCCCATGCTCACTTCCTATTCATACCTTCGCCCCTAAATTCATAAACCAGCACAACCCAAAAAACATAAACAATACAAGACAAACCAAATAAAATTTTATGACCATTTTTGTCATGTTCAATTCACCACCTCTAGCTTTATGCCCTTTAAAAATTTTCATTATATTCTAATAGATGTACTTCCACTTATTCTATTCAGTCTATTATATATCATTAATCCATTTACAAACAAAACAGAATCAATCAATACATATACAAATTCCGTATAATTTAATTTGTTTTCTGTGACTCTTTTAACTTTTTGTCCCGTAGCAGCATATCTGCATGTTGTTTTTCTAGCATATTTATATGTTGGCTTTCTTTGCACCATTGGTATGTCCATAGTTTTTTCACTCTCTCCGGGATCTTTTTTGGAAAGTCAATTCTCTCTTCCCTTGTGTCCCTTTTATTTCTTCTCTCAGGAAGGATAATCTTAAAGAACTGGTAGGTTTGGATATGGGAGAAGGCAGGTCTTGATGTATCCCAGGGCTACTGTGTTTTTAAAGAGTTAGGTCTGGGTTCTTTGGACTTAACCCGGAACCCAACTTGTGTTCCCTGTAGCCATGCAGCGGCTGCAGAGAAAGGTTTTTTAAAAATGAAGAACAGCCCAAAGAGGCTCAGAATGTGGGTGTGGTGGGAGGAAGGGCTCACCCCCCCCACACACACACACACAAGCAGCTTTCCCACACTGAAACAGCCGTGGTAGGGAGTTATTTCCCCATTTTTTCTGCTCCATGTGAATTATTCTGTGCATCTGAAACAGTAAAAACAGGGAAATAACTCCTCCCCCGCCTTATTCTGGCACAGGGAAAATGGTATGGGGGAAGGCAGGAACAGCAGCGTTCCAAGTCCATTTGGGCTCTCCTTGGTTTTTTAAAAAAGTTGTTCCCTTCAGCTGCTGTGTGGCCCTCAGACCATTTAGGGCATTGAAGCTCCATACCAGCACTTAGAATTGGGCCTAGAAACCAAACGATAGCAAGTGAAATCATTACAAAACCATTATGAAATCATTCTGTTCCCCATGGACCACTCCAACCAAAAAGCCATGCCCACTGTAGTCTACCCTTCAAAGACTGCAACATGCAGAAAGGCCTCCCCCCAGCTTCTCATGTCAGTAGACCCCTCTCCTACCTTTTTGTGAGTCAAAAGGAACTGCAGGCGGCATTGTCCTCGGTTGGGGTAGGTTTCTGTGCGTGGTTCCAGATTGTGCCAACGGTCTTCTCTGCAATGCAGATCCTGTACAAACAAGAAGTCAAAGTTTGCATCAGAAAGGAAAAAAAGAATTTTGAAAGAACGGAATTCTGTCAGATATAGCATGACTGTTAAGCAAATGTTATTTCATAATAATCCTGAATGGGTGCGTTCAGACGAGCCGTTTAGTCCGCTTTTGGCACGCTTCAGTAACGGATTTTATATCCACGTTCACACACCCAACATCGGTGCACCGTCCCCAGCCATCGCTTTCCAGCTCAACCCCCCTTTAAAACGGAGTATTTTGTTACCGGGTCCCCAAGTGATGTTTTCTTGATTCTCTGGTTCTAGCCGCACTTTTCTGACGTCTGATTGCTCCTGCAGTGTCGAGCCACTTCCGCTCGGAAGCCCAAGGCACCCGCTCTTCGCCCGCCATTTTATTTTAGCATCAGCGGTATGCGCACAGGCAGAGCTCTGCTCCCGTGTTATTAAATACAATGTTTAAACGGTGTCTAGTTTTGTTGGTTAGACAAGTTCAGGATCTCACGGAAGCCAGTTTCAGGGTAAAGGTTTAAAGGGAAGTGTTACAGCAGTTGGGTTGAAGTGGAAATCCCTGTTCTGCATACACACGAAAATTTTAATTCTACAGATGGCCGCCTGTGTGCATGCCCAAACTGAGAGAAAAAACCAACACTGACACACGCTCCTGCATGTGGACGGCGGGGAGCGATGTGGCTGCACAGCGATCTGGAACAAGGAGGTGAGTGTGATAACGATTCTCCAGGTTAAAAAAAAAAAAGCATCGGGACCGGAGCAATTGGAACCGCTCCCAGCATGCTGTCCGACCGCACCCAATGTGTATTTTCATGCCAATTAAATGACTGATCAGTGAAAGCTTTAAATTGCAGATTTATATTTGTTCACTGGATAAAGGTGACAACCTGCAACAATTCTGGATCTTAGGGCTTTTACAGGGCTTGTGAGTCATACACAGTGCAACACTTCTAGCCTTTCTATTTGTTGAAAAACAAATGCAGCTGTCTTTTCTGATATGAATCTAAACCCTGCAGATAGCTTACAATTTCAAGCTATTTCACAATGAATTGTGTCTCTTCAAGGCCCTAACAGATTCCCTCAATAAGATTTTGCATCATGTAATTTTTAAAAAATCAAGATAATGACTTAAATGCTATTTAATTGGTTGAGGTCCCCACTCAGTTTGGTGTAGTAGTTAAGTGCACGGACTCTAATCTGGGAGAACCGGGTTTGATTCCCCACTCCTCCACTTGCACCTGCTGGATGACCTTGGGCAAGCTGTAGCTCTGATAAGAGCTGTTCTTGAAAAATAGCGGTTTCTGTCAAGAGTTCTCTCAGCCCCACCTACCTCACAGGGTGTCTGTTGTGGGGAGGGGAAGGGAAAGGAGTTTGTAAGCCGCTCTGAGACACCTTTGGGTAGTGAAGGGCAGGGTATAAATCCAATCTCTTCTTCTTCTTCTTTTCTGGTTACAGGATTTTTAGGACAGAAATAGGATTCTACCACAGCTGCTATTGATTTAGTGCATTTTATCCCTCCCTTCCTCCAAGGAGTTCAGGGATGTGTAGTTAATTCTCTCCCCTCCATTTTGTCCTCATAACAATTCTGTGAAGTAGGTTAGACTGAGAGAAAGTGACAGGACCAAGATCACCTGGCAAGCTTCCATGTCAGAGTCAGCGTTTGAATCTGGGTCTCCCATATCCTACTTCAGCATTCTAACCACTACACCGCATTGGTTATACATCACCTTGAGATAGGGTTGCCAGGTCTCTTCTTACCTGTGGCGGGGAGCTTCAGGCTCCTAGTTGGCAACCCTACCTTGAGACTAGTCTGCCTTCATCACAGAAACCCAATGAACAGTATAGGTATTAGGATATTAACCATGAAAGAGCTGGACAACCAAAAACACTATTTCTGGTAAATTTATATACATCGCAAACACTATAGCTTTCAACATGAGCCAGAGCCAATTACTGTTCACTTATTTTTCAGATACAGATCTCAAGATGACATTACATTAAACAAGTGGAGACCCACAAGAAACTTGCGGGATTGTTATCCCATTCCTCACACCTTTGCTTCCTTCCCTCTCTCCCTACATCTCTCATACTCTTTCTCCCTTCTGTCCCCCTTTTCTTACTCTCTCTTCCACTCCTCCATGCATGTTACTTCCTCTCTCTTTCTGACCTATCATCATTCTCTTTGTTTTTCTGACTCCCCGCCTCATCACTCTTTCTCTCTTTCTGCCCCCCACCCCATCACTCGATCTTTCTGCCCCCATCGTTCTCGCAGCCTCCTGCCTGTCTCCTCCCCCACCCCGCACAGCAGGAGCAGTGGTGGCAGTACTCCCAGTCACCCACCTGCTTCTTCTCCCTTCACAGCAGCAGTGGCAGGGCTCTGGGAATCACAGTGGATCTCCCAGCTACAGAGATCAATTCACCTTAGGGCTACTAGTTCCATGTTGGGATATTCCTGGAGACTTGGGGGTGGAGCCTTGGGACAGTGAGGCATGGGTAGGCAAGCAGCCTCAGCAGGGTATAATGCCATAGACTCAACCCTCCAAAGCAGCCATTTTATCCGGGGTAACTTATCTCAGTCACCTGGACAACAGTTGTAATTCTGGGTGATCTCCAGCCCTCACATGAAGGCTGGCAATGGTAGTTCTTGTGGAGGAAATGGCTGGTCTGGAGGGTAAAGTCTATAGCATTATACCAGCCTGAAGTTCCTCCCCTCCTCAACCCCCTCCCTTCCTCGGGCTCCACCCCTCAAATGTCCAGGAATTTCCCAACCTGGAGTTGGCAACACAATTTCCTTCCCATCCAACAGCCAACCTATCTTTATCTGCCTTTATCTGTCTTCAGCCTTCCATCTCCACCCCCCTCTCCCACAGCCTCTACCTAGGAAAATTACAGTCTTTCTCCACAGTGGGGACCAAAGCAGCTTACATTATTCTCGCCTCCTTTTTATCTGCACAACAACCCTGTGAGGTTGGTTAGGCTGAAAGTATGGGACTGGTCCAAAATCACCCAGTCGGCTTCCACCACAAGATGGGGATCTGAACCTGGGTCCTGCAGTCCCTATTTTGAAGCTCTAACTGCTGAACCACACTGGCTTTTATAGGGTGGCTGCTGATGAACAGTAGCCAGCAGCCAGGCCTAGTTGAGCTATGCAGATCAGGGGGTATCAAGTCACCTAGAAGGTGCTGCCTGGGGATGACAGCCTCTAGGTGAGACCTGGGGATCCGCTGGAATTACTGCTCATCTCCAAACTACAGAGATAACTTCCATGGAGAAAATGGATGCTTTGAAGGGTGGATTCTATGGCATTGTACCTCCCTGAGGTCCCTGCCCTCCTCAGGGTCCACCCCAAAATCTCCAGAAGTTTCCCAACCTGGATCTGGCAACTTTACCCCCCCCTCCCCTGCTGGTGGCCAGGGTGGACCTGGCAACCCTCGACTGCTGCCAGGCCTAGGTTGCCAGTCTCCAAGTGGGGCCTGGAGACCCCCATCAGAATTACAACTGAACTCTAGACAGCAGAGATCTGTCTCCCTGGAGAAAATAGCTGCTTTGGAGGATGGACTCTGTGGCTGAGGCCTCTCCCTTCCCCAAAGCCAACCCTCCTTAGAGTCCACCACAAAACCTCTAGGAATTCCCCAGTCTAACTCTGGCAACCCTTGTCAGGCCTGGCCCTAAGGCTCCTTCCCTCAGAGGCCAAAATAGGCCTGGAAATCCCCCTGCCTTTTACTGACAGAGCCAGTTAGAAGCCCCCCCCCCCCAATGTTCTAATCTCTCACCATTGAGGCCTGGAGTGACTGGCCCCTGCGGAGGTCATTTCAAAAGATATTGGGGGGGGGGAGATCCAACCCTCCCTGAGGGTTCCCCCCCACACTTGAGATTTTTCTGCAGACCCAGGATGTCCCCTGAGTCCATAGAAAAAGCTGTTGGGGGAGAGTGAGCCCTCTGTTGGAAGAAATAAGTATCCACATGAGGAAAAAAGTTTGACTATTAGATGTATAGATGATAATTCCATTGACCCTGTATGCAGGTATTGTAAGGGCTAACGTTCCTCCACTCCCAATCTTATTAAGAGGCTGATTCATACAGATATTTAAAAATCCCTATGGGCTGTTATTTCTTGAGGCGACAACCAGCTACATGAAAGTTTTAAGATGTGCTGATATCTTGCTTGGATGTAAACCCTACTGGCTTTCTGCCACTGACTTACTCCTAAGTAACTGTGCGGTTGATGCATCTACTGGTCCTTAGATGGCCACAAGGAGCTCTCATGAAACACCAGCTGCCACACTGAAGACTGAAGTGACAATTTATATCAAGAACTGAGAAGGCCATTTACTTAGGATGTTACCGATTTTTTCACTAGTCGGGCCAGTTATCTTATGCATTATGCTCACTATTTGCTTCCTCACCTGCACGCGAAGAACCACATTCCCCAGAAAGTCATGTTGCCCTTTGTCCTTCCGAGCATCCTTAAAAATCCTGGAGAAGAAAAAAGCAAAACCAAAGAGAACAGTACAACAGCAGTACAGAGTATTCTGCATCTTGTTCTTCAATTGCCTGATTTGTTTAATAAGCACTCCTTAATTAATGGTAGCTCCGCAAAAGGAGGGGGAACCCTGGTATTAGCACAAACCTCTTGAGGCCATGGAGGTCTGACAGTTCTCCAAGTTTGTGGCGTACAGATTCAACTTCATCAAAGTCCCTGTGAGAATGGGATAAAAAAGTGGGAAGAAGGTATGCATTGACAGTGTCCCTTTAAGATCTCCAGTGACAGATGGAAATTGCCTCCCTGCCTCAGTCTAGTGAGAAGAAGCACCTGAACAGCCCAGTGATGATATCCTCAAATCAACTGTTAAAGGAGGGGACTCCTATACATGATCCATTTTTGAGGTTTAAATCCTGCAGTGCAGGTCATCAGAAGGAAGGATTACAATGATCATGAATTTACTTGACATAGCTATTGCTATTCTACAATGACTACACTTCATTTTGGGAGCCTGACAGAAACACCTGTCCTATACCCTACTTCTCTCTGCTCTACAAAGTTTGCTGTCTTATGCAAAAAAAAAAAAATTATTGAGACCTATTGATGGGCTCTGAGAAAACAGGCCTTGAAGGTTTAAAACTCTGCTTCCTTAAGGAGTCCTTAAGGACCTAAGTGATTGAGAAGTGCACCAAAAGAGGCCTTCAGGTGGCAGCCCTGAGTAGCACCCTCCCAGCTCCAGCACCACCACCCAGATTGCCTTGCTCACCTATTCCCGCCCCACCCCACGGCTGTGAAGGAGGAAGGCAGGAAGAACGGGTGGCTGCCAGTTCCATCACACTGGGTTCTGCTCTCACCCTCCTTTGCACCCAAAGCCCTTTGGGTCCGCTCTGAGTGAGTCCCATTTTGAGAGCTCAGTCCCAAAATGTATGAGGAATAACATGCAAGCATACTTACCACATGTCCAGGTGGAATCTGGCATTCTCTGCATCTTTAAACTCACTGCAAGATACAGTTTGAATATATTATTAGTAAGTGTCAAACTCAACACCTCGTTTGCCATGGGGAAAGTGTATTGCTGTAGACCACTGGGAAGGGGGGGGACTTCTCTGTCTCTGTGTGTGTGACTGGGGATGCTTTGCTGTGCAGCTAACTATTTTCTAAGATGCCTCCCTGTCTCTGGGAAGAATGCACACTGACCTTGGATGCTGTCTCTGCTTGCTCCGACCCCCTGGGGACTCTGTACATTTTCAAGAAAAACCTCAGAGGCTTGCAGCCTGAGAAAAAGCTGGGTTGGAAGTATCTGGGGCCTTTTAAAGTTGTGAAACTCATTAATAAAGTAGCTGTGGAAGTAGACTTGCCCAAGAACTTACATCCATCCTGTTTTCCATTTCAGTCTACTGAAGAAGGATCCGGGACCCTTGAAATGGAGACCCCATCCTGCAGCTCCCCCTCCCCTGATCGTGGATGGGGAGCTCCACCAGGAGGTGGAGGAGATATTAGATTCTAAAGTAAAGAGGGGACAGTTGTATTATCTCATCATATGGTGGGAGTTTGACCCGAGTCATAATGAATGGGTGCTAGAAGACCATGTGAAGGCCCCTAAGCTTGTCCATGATTTCCATAAACACCACCCACTCAAGCCTGGAGGATGAGAGGCTTGGGGGGGGGGGCGAATGTCAGACTCAGCACCTCGTTTGCCATGGGAAAAGTGTATTGCTGTAGACCACTGGGGGGGGGGGGCTTCTGTTTGTGTGTGTGACTGTGGATGCTTTGCTGTGCAGCCGAGTAACTATTTTCTAAGACACCTCCCTGTCTCTGGGAAGAATGCACAAATGACCTTGGATGCTGTCTCTGCTTGCTCTGCTAATATAGATAGCCTAATGGGTCCCTCACAGGTGTGGGGGATAGAAGAGCACAAAATCTAGGCAGCAGAGGATAGGACTTGCAATAATGGGTTTAAATTAAGGGTGGGAAAGTACCGGCTGGATATTAGGAAAAACCTTTTTACAGTAAGAGTTGTGCAACAGTGGAATCAGCTCCCTACGGGGGTGGTGAGCTCCCCCTCACTGGCAGTCTTTAAGCAGCAGCTGGACAAACACTTGTCAGGGATACTGTAGGCTGATCCTGCATTGAGCAGGGGGTAGGACTAGACGGCCTGTATGGCCCCTTCCAACTCTGTGATTCTATGATGCTTAAGAGTAAGGAAGTGTCACCAGAGACCAAGATAATTCATATTAGGGTATTTGCTATTATGATGTATGAATGAAAAAATTGGACAATGAAAAAAGCCGACAGGAAGAAAATTGATTCATTTACAACGTGATGTTGAATTAAAGTTTTATGGATACCCTTGACCACCCAAATGACAAATTAAGTGGGTTCCAAATCAAATCAAGCCCAAACTCTTCCCAGAAGCTAAAATGACTAAATTGAGGCTATTGTATTTCTGGTCATATTATGAGAAAACAAGACTCACTGGAAGAGATAATAATGCTAGGAAAAACTGAAGGCAGCAGGAAAAGAGGAAGACCCAACAAAATGCAGATGAAATATTAGGTTAAAAAGTAAAGAAGGGAGCAGGGTTGTGAACAGGCCTGCAGAGAAAGTCCTAGAATATTGTCCAACTGAGGAAATGGTTGCAAATGCACTTACAAAGCCACTTCCACATGAAAGGTTTGAAATCTTCTGAAAGAAAATGAATCTGATGGACTATGCACACTAGGACCGATTTCACACAAGAGCTGCGCCGCGGTCGCGCCTCCCTTTGCCCCGCTTCTATTGGTCTATTTCCCACTCGAAGCCACGTGGCTGCATTTTGAACCACAGCTTCACCCAATTTTCCCCTCAGTTTCGTGATTCTGTTTTTTGAGGATCACAAAATTGCGGGGAAAATCGGGCAAAGCTGCGGGTCAAGATGCGGCCGGACGGCTTTGAGTGGGAAATTGACCAATAGAAGCGGGGCAATGGGAGGTGCGACCGTGGCGCGCAGGTCTTGTGAGAAATCAGTCCAGATCTTGAGAAGGGGTGTTAGAATACACAAGATCTGCTGTGTGCATGAAGCAAAAAGGATAAGAAGAATATCCTGCAGGGGGCATCGGAGGAATTAAGTAGCTAGCATAGTCAGATTAAGGACTTCCTGGTATTTTTAAATTATCCTCTCCTGTCTCCTGGTTGGGTCATTGGAGACTTCCTCTTTTTGAGCCCACTTTCTCCCTAGTTGTTCGTTACACAGTTAGATGGTTAGATAGTTAGAACCTTCTCTCTCCTCTCCTCTTTGAACAGTTGTTTCTCTTCTAAATAAAACTGTTTATTCTTTCAGGAGCTTGAGCTCTGGTCCATTTTGCATATTTAAAATTCTGCCAACATTTAATTCTGAGCAGAAGCAGGTAGAGGCTCAGAAACATTCTCTGTTGTCTTCTCTTCAGTATTCGCTCTTACAGGCAGACACCAAAAAGAGACTAACTTGAAATGAGACAACAATGAGCCTAGATTTGCAGCCTTCCCAGCATCCCTGCTGCTGCAACCTTATTAGTGAAAGCATTCCGAAGCCTGCCTTTCTCCCAGGCAACTGCGACCCCAAGGCAAAAACAGATTCAAAACCACAACATTTACAGAAGCTTAAAACAAGCTATTAAAATAGCCAACAGGAACCTTCCTCTTAAAAGAGTTCTATCTTACAGCTGCTAGGAAACTTCATAACTATTCTCTTCATAACTCCTTTTGGAAGTCTGTTCCACAGGGCTGGAGAGGCTACAGAGAAAGCTCGCAAACAGTCAGCAAGAGATGCTCCCTTGCTGCAGGGTTTAGAATAACCAACACGTGCTGCTATGTTGAGTGATCCTGTACTTTTCAATTCTCTCTTACTGTGAGGGACATTTCGCATTAGGTCTCAGTTTTGTACCAGCACTTCCCAGTTATATATGTTCATCTCTCTTGGCTATTTTCAGCCTGAAGAAAAGGGTCAAAATGGGGGATGTTGTTTATCGTGAGGAACAGTTGAGAGATATTCCTGTAAGACAGTACCTACAGACAAGGTTTTGGAGGTCAAGCGCTAGATGGTACTTTATTCTGAAGAACTGTTGCCAACCCCCCCCCCACACACATCTCTCTAGGGGAGGCTCTGCTGCTCTTAAGAGAGTTATTTATGTACCACCAGCAGCTGACCTCAGCTTGTCCTCCATTCCGTGGGAGGGGCTTTAGTTTTTGTAAAGACCCTTCCCCTAGCACAGAAATTTCAAACATGATGCCTGCCAATGTGTTTCCTGCAGCCTGCTTGCTGGCTACTTCTTGGCACCTTCCCACATTTCTTCTTTATCTCTTTTTAAATTACTGTCTTCTCTTTGTCCTCCTTTGTCCAGTTCAGATCCCTCCTTTTCTGCTCTTTTCACCTTTTCTCTGTCCCTCTTTCTCTTTGTGCCTTAACTCCTATCCCACACCACTTATCCAGGAGGCAACAGAAAGGAAGGAAAGACTATCATGACAGCACCAGCTCCACCAGCAGCAGAAAGGAAAGTAAGTGAGGCGCTCTTATTATTGTATGAAGGGGTACTTGTTTTGGTGTCCAGACCCTTCTTTAGTTAGCAGAGTGCACCTGGCTTTAACACAGCAGTGTTCTGTCCCAAGTCTAACACATACTTGCAAGACTACAAAGTTACACAGATCCACATTTCAATTTGAAACAAAATAATCTACTTTATTCTAGAAGGGCATTCTTGATAGTGCAGGGTAGAGATATGGAGAAAGCTCCTATGCTATCTCACTAGGGGATGGATGCGGATGCCGAGAGGCAGGGGTCATTTCCTGTGGGAGCGCACAGGAGAAGAGCTCCGGCAGTAAGAAGCCCAGGGGGCGGGCACATGCAACAAGCCCCACCCCTGCTCCCAGAAGCCCTCAGTCGGGCCACAAGGAGCAAGAGGCAGCCAGGTAAGTTGCAGGCCCCCCCCCCCGGCCCACCTTCAAGTACAAGCTCTCCCTCCTCTCCCCCCCCAATAGCTAGCAATCCGAAACAGTCCAGTGGAGCCTGAGCGATGGGTGTTGCCTTCTGACACACTTCCAATGATGTCAGGGGGTGTGGCATATGCAAATACGCTATGCTAATAAGTTATGCTAATGAGCTCCTGCACCTCTTTTTCTATGAAATGACCCCTGCCGAGAGGCATCCTGCTTCTCCCTCTTGTGTGCATGGAAGAGAGAAAAGGAAGAGAGAAGAGTGGAGAAGGAAGGAAGTTGCTTTTTCCCTTAAGAGTGTTGATCAACACTTCAAAGGGATTCTCAGTGGCTGTGCTGCCCCAGCCAGCGTTTAACTGTAGTTAAGTAGAACTGCCATATATCTTTAAGAGCAGTGGTCCCTGGGAATTGAAGTCTTTAGTTAGACATCCCACAGCATCCCTGCGACTGGCTGATTAACAGTCATTTCCGGCACACAGAGGCGCGAGGATTCGAGTTTACAGCTCTCTTCCCGTGGCCTTTGTTCTCTTTAAATGGCAAGGAGGTGGGAACGCGCAATCCTTTTCATCATGAGCCAGTGAACTGAATTAGATTACAAAAGATGTGAACTTCACCAGTTATTCAGCCTGATTGACTGTAAGTAAGGACATCGTCTGAATGCATATGGAATTTAATAAAAAGTGATTTAATTCTACTTTGCTCTGGCCGTGTGTTGTATCACGTCCAGAAGGCACTGTTGATTTCTGACTTAGTGCTAGACGGAACAATGGCAGTAAACAGGAAGATGCTTAGTGTTTGCCTGTCTGCCTGCAACTCTGTGGCAACTTGCTCCTGGAGGCTGAGGCACCGGGACATTGCATCTGGTACTTCCAACAACTATAAGAAATGAAAGCACAGCCAGAAGAGAATGGAGGATTTACATATCCCCAGTCTCAGCCATGGAATCCTTTTCCATCCTCCTAGAACGGGGGTTCTTAACCTGGGGTCCATGGATACATTTCAGGGGGTATGTGAACTTGGGGGGGGGGATCACATCTTTATTTCCACTAACCTCTAAATTAAGTATTTCCTTCCATTACGAATGCAAGCAACAAACCAAAGTAGTATTAGCAGTACCTGTGACTTTGACACCAATAGAAATCACAGATATGTTCATATCACATTACAGTTGTTGTAGATATCTTGAAATATCATTTACACTCATCACGACTTCACAATTATGGTAGTCAGGGCTATTTTGGGGCAGGAACGCACAGGAACAGAGTTCCGGCTGGCTCCTGAGTTGGCCACGCCCAGCAGGAACTCATTAGCATAATAGGCCACACCCAACAGCAGAAACTCATTAGGATTGGCTACATTAGGGGTGTGTGGCCTAACATGCAAAGAAGTTCCTGCTACAAAAAAAGCTCTGGGTTTTGACAACAAACAAGGTAAACAGAATAAGAAGCAAAAGGTGGGTGTGGCTGGATGACCACACTTCTGGTAACATGGGGGTGCAGCCTAATATGCTAATGAGTGGTGCTGTCAGGGGTGTGGCCTAATGTGCTGATGAGTTTCTGCTATTGGGTGTGGCCTATTATGCTAATGAGTTCCTGCTGGGCTTTTTCTACAAAAAAAGCCCTGATGGTAGTTATTAGACCCACCACTAGATCGCACATGATCGTGGTTTTCCTGTCTACCTTTTCTTTTTATCTTGTGTATTTTATTTTATGCATTTAAAAACATTATTCTGAGAAGGGGTCCACAGGTTTCACCAGACTGCCAAAGGGGTCCAAGGCACAAAAAAAGCTTAAGAACCCCTGTCCTAGAAACTGCTAGATTTCAGAAGTGCCTACAGTCTTGGGGACTCTTCATCTAGAATCTTGCCTCTTCCTACTGACAAAATGAAAATGGAAAAGAAGATGAAATAAGAATAGAAAAGAAAAGGACTTCTGTTCCAAACTGGGAAGATCTAGACTTTCCTGTCCACTTGGAAGCCACCCTGGTTTTACTGCAACCTCTCTGAAAACATACACCAAGAAGTACACAGAGGCACCACAGTGCTTTGAGGGAGCAGGGGAGGGGAGACACTTCACAGCAGCATCTAACCTAAAGGAAACAACCAGGTGTAAATGACCTATCAGTGCTATGCTACTTCCATGACAATGCTGATACATACAGGATAGGCAATTTTAGAGCAATGGTTCTTGCCTGTGGCTTCTTTCAAGATTAAGAAAATATATCAAGACAGCAGCAAAACAAAGGAAACGTACAGTATAAAGGTTTCATTCCACACAGGATTTAACGTCTGGGGGATGACTTGGGTGCGGTGAGTCTGGTCTTCAGGGATCAGATTCTTCACCACAGCCTTTGATCGTTTTTTGTTCTCCTGGTGGGTGCCATCATTACCAGAAGAGTCCTGCTTTTTATTTTCTATCCCTAAGAGGCAGTAGGGGTCACTGAACCCTGAAAGCATAAAGGCAGTTGTTGAAATATGGTTATGTTCACTTCACATGTGAAGGTCCCAGTGCTTGTAATAGCTAGAAAGGTAACATTCTGATGCAATCCAGGACACAAAACTGCAGTTGTGCCCACCTTACCCTGTAGAATAAATCAGAAGCTGGAGAGGAAAGCCTCACCCTCCTGGGTCCCCAACAGGATTGAGGGGCAGGGGAGTCTGGCCTCAACCTGCTCTGTGACGAGCCCTCAACTTTGTCAAAGATAACAAACCATGAGATGCCAAAAATAACAATTGGTTCAGGGAAATGGAGTCCAGCTGTAGAGTCCAAGGCCTATAATAGATGGATAAGGACCTTACTAAAGTGCTATACACATGCCTCTCTTCCTCTCCCCTGTGAAGGATGCCCAGTTGGAAAAAGAAGATGGATGGTTTTGTGTCTTGGCTGCTTTGGACCCTGCCAATATACAGCTGGCGTTTAGAGTGTACAGTACATACATGACAGGGCAGCAGCAACAACAGGACTCCTCAGGTAGTAGTAGGGAAGCAAATGCTTTTAGATTTGGGCAGTGGAGCCAATTCCCAGACAAGGACATTCTGAGCCTTGGCCTGTTAGCTACTTTCTCACATTAAGAAAATGACACTGTTTGGCTGTGAGCACAAAGGTTTTCATGGCAGAGGTACAGTGTGGCCCTCAAATAAGATTATGGTTATTCCCAAATAGAGGTTTTAGAAGCAGAGCCCAGGTTTGAGCAGAAGCAGAGTTCCCAAGTTTCTCTGTTTGAATTATAAGCATCATCCTACTTACCACTGACATCTTTACCTAGAATTCCCTTCGCTTGCTTCACAGTTGCTTTAAGACAATATATTGGACTCTGAAAGGGGAAAAACAAGTCTCATTTAAAGAATTAAAGCTAGTCACAAGCCACCATGCACAGAGCACCTTACTTAGTCCAGGGAGCCTGATGCCATAATGGAACCTTCTAGATGATTTTGGACTAGTTACCAAAACGTCTGCTATTCAGGGCATCTTAGAGGCAGAGTGGGATATAAGTAAACCATACTAAATGACTGCATAACACACCGACAGGTAATGTAGGATCCTGGGATATTAGGACTAATGTGATCAGCAGTCTATGGCTGCGATCACACGCGCCTTTAGATCCCAAATAGGTGCGAATGCCTGGTGGATCTAAAGGGTGCGATCAGACAGCAACATCTGGGAAGCGTCCCGCAGTCATTGGCAACCCGTGCTGCTCTGCCACAGAAGAGGAGTTAAAAGACACCGGGGAAAGTCCAGCTCTAACGGGTTCCGACGGGCCATGGATGGACTTTCCCCTGTCTGATCATGCAAGTACACTCTCATGCTGTTGGGACGGTCTGATCATTCTATCCCCACTTGGTGCTGTTTCCCCCCCCTTTGCAGCCAACCCCCCCCCACTCACCCCGCAGTTGCATCTGATCACACAGTGACAGGCTGCACCGGCAGCTACAAAGAGATGTGTGATCTCGCAACGGTGTTTCAAATTCCTCCAGAGGAAATAGCCTTGCTTCCCCCGGTGCGTGTGACCCCAGCCTAAGAGTTTTTTTTGCTAAACCCCCCCCCCCCCCCAAGATCAGGGTTCTTGCCACTGAGAAAATGCACCTGATGATATCAGATTGTTTTATCTATGTTATCATTGTTCTTATGTTTTATCCTTTGCAAGCCCACCCTGAGCCTGCTTTGGCGGGGTATAAATTGAATAAATAAATAAATAAATAAATGAGGGCAAAAGAAACCAGGGTTTTGATAGCGCACTCCCTATTTCTTTCACATGAGCTCACTTGGAAAAAATCTTCAGGGACTGTTACATAAAATGGAGGGAGTAAGAATTGTGTATATTGTAACTCCTTGGAGGAAGAGCAAGATTAAAAAATGTGAAAGAGACTGAAATCCCACGTGGCTAGTTAGACCACTAAAGTGAAACCAAACCTTCCCATCCAGCCTCTTTTAAAGAAAGCTGTTTAGCACTTTGCTGCTGTCACGTTTTGTCTGTTGAAACACCTACTATCACCTTTCCCATGTAAATGCAGACAAGCAAGGAACAGAATTAGTGCCCACTAATCTGAGATAATAGTTGCAGAGGTGATGACAAATTATAGAATTTTCCAAGTGTCACCTGCTCCTTTAACAGTCTGATCCAGAGGTCATTTCGGGGGGGGGGGATCGCGGGGGAGTTCCCCCGGGTGAGGTGCAGGGGGGCGGGGCACATGATGAAGCCCCGCCCCCTGCTTCCGCCCGCCTCGCTTCCAGCCCTCATTCAGCCAGGAGGAGGCAGGAGAAGAGGGAGGGTAAGTTGCTTCCTCCCCGCCTCTCCCCACCCCTGCCTGCCTGGGGCCAGGGAGGGCCTTCGCGGGGCTTCCTTGCACTCCCGCTGGCCTTGCAGGTCCACCGCCGGGCCCCTGATGTCAGGGGGTGTGGCATATGCTAATGAGTTATGCTAATGAGTTCCCCTAGCTCTTTTTCTATGAAATGACCCCTGGTCTGATCCAACCATATGTACTCAGAAGTAAATTACACAGAGTGTTCAGTGAGGCTTAGTCCCAAAGAAGACTGGAATCCTAAACACACATTATCTGAATCTCTACTTTATCATGGCTCACTAACAGAGGTCAGTACGCTTTGTTGGAGTGCAGCCTAATTCTCCCCACCCCTACCCACGTCAGATCAGATCAGAGAAAGTATATCCAATGAGAGCAACTATGTGCAACTTCTGACACTTGATCACAGAGAGAAACACAGTAGTCATTATGCCAATATGGGGGAATTAAAGAGGAGCTGTGAAGGAATGCTTCCCCACATACTCTGAGATACATGAAAAGTCAAAGACAGGAAGGGAGAGATCCTGTTTCTTTCCTTCATATGTGCCATGAATACACAGGATTGTACCCTTCCATAAACTACATCAGAAAAGGCCAAATTCCACACATGAAGTAAAGAAGTCAGAGCCACACTAGCAGTAACAGCACCAGAAGAAATCAAGGTGTTGTTGTTATTTCCTGATCCCGATGTGTTTGCCTATGGCTTCGCCAGGGGGTCTATTATAAGCAAGGAAATACACTTATAAATTGAAAACATTAATAAGACATATATAATCAATATTTAAATAATTTCTCTAAACGTTAAAGTTAAAAAACAGGAACCTACAATATGAAAAAGTCTTTTAAAAATTAAGGTATTATTTCGAGCGATTCTATAATAATTGTAACCTTAGGAAACTAGCAGCAAATAATTAATTATTACATATTAATGAATAACATAACTGAACAACTATTCTGCTTACCTAGCAAAAAATCTCCAGTCTCACTTTGAGCATTAGAGATGGAATCAAACTCAGAGGATTATGTAATCTGATGCAATCGGAGTTCATTTAATCCCTCAAAGGGCCATAGTTCAAAAACATTTTCAATATATATATATTCCCAATATGTATATATTCCCCTTATAAATAAAAGCCAAATGGTGGTGGCACTTCTCTAGAACATTCCACACACTCCAGACTGTCCCAAGGGGCGGGGCGGCATCAAAATGGACTGCAGCCCATCCAGGGAGGAGGCAGTCTTCATCCCTGGGAGGCAGCAGAAATTCAGCCACTGGACTGGGGAATGAATGGAAGTTTCCCTGCTCACATGGGCAAGAGAGAGAGGCTGAAGTAGAGCCAGAGGCCAGTCCAAGGAAATATCCTATCCTGAGCCCACAACCTCCAGAGGTAGAGAGTATTGTGTGTAGG